TCCCTCAGCAGTCAACTTTACAGTTGGAACAAGAAATGACCTCACCTCGTCCCAGTCCCAGCTCCCCCAAGGTTTGAACAGGAAATAGAGAGAGCACAACCCCCGCCCAGCCCCTCACAGCCACTGCAGCGCTCACAAAGAGAACACATCACCCTTACTGAACATTACTGAGCCCCAATATTAAAGATGGAATAAAAAAATCTTTTAATAGAGAAATAAAGGCCAGTTTGATATGGTAATTGAAAATACATGATAGTTACTGGATGAGCGAACATGAGATGAACGTTACTTTTAAGCTGTGTTGTGAATTTTAAGTCTGTGAATGGTTTGGATTCCTCTGAGGGAGAATGTTTTATGCTCCTTTGAAAATACGAAAGACGTTGCACACATCTGAAAGCCATTAGCTCCTATAACAGCTAGCGAGCAGGCTGAGGATTCTTTCCGCTCTCTTGGACTCCGCTACATTTACATTTGCATTTTTTTCCCCTTGTCATTTCTTTCTTCTTCTTCTTTTTTTTTTGCCACTGCAGCCTCTGTCTTTTGCAGTTACAAAGGTTGTGGAATTTCACAACCTTTTTCCAGAAAGTTTTGCAACACGACACACAGAAAACCAAAGACTCCCAATCTTCGGCCGCATATGAGCCTCCCTCCACTCGCCTACTCGCTGGATGTTTTTAGAAACATTAAGCTATTCCCGAGCAAACTTTTCAGAGCCACGATGTGCTTTATCAACTGGGGAGCGACATCACGTGTATACCCGCCTCTTCCTCCCTCGGTTCCCACAAAGTAGGGCTGGAGCCATGTGAAGCCGGTCCTCCCTCCTCCCCATCGCCGTCTGTAAGCCTTGCGAAGGCGCTGATGTGTTTGTGTGCTGTTTTATGTGATCGCATATTCTCGCGCACCCTTGAACTCCGACGTCTTTTGTCTGGGCCCGAGTTCTGCTGCGAGGCTCCGCATTCCTCTCCCGCTGCATCACAGAGGCGGCCCAGCTGCGCGAGTCCGTTAGCTCGAAAAGCAGGGATGCTTCAGGTGAACGGAGGCAGGGGGACACCGGCCTTGAACGCCACATGTTGGAGAGCACGGAGAGTTTTCCTGTCTGTCCGTGTCTGTCTTTGTATGAGGTGTAGTGATCATACTTTCATTCATGCAAGGGAAAACCACAAGTGGACCACAGGATTCCCAGCTGGGATAGTCCAAAGCCAGTCACACTCCGCCCTGACCCCACTGGCTCCGACCGCAAACCCCAAGACCATGATGACACTACGAAACCAACCTCTAAACCCTCAGCTCCACCTTCCCACAACCACACATGCACGGGCTGGAGAGTAGGAACATCCTCCCATGACCTTAGCTTTTGGACACAATACAAGCTAAAGAAACGAGGAGGGTAATCTGGCATTGGAAAATGTGAACTAGGACAGTTGCGGACGCATGTAAAACAACAGGAATTCTGAAGTTTTCTTATTGAATCTCCATTAAAACTCACTCCTGCCACATTTGATAAGGGAACTCCCCAAAACAATCTGGTTTCCTGGAGATTAAGTTTATTGAAATGTTTCATGTTTTCGCACAAGAGGACCAAAAACGACTAAACTGATTTAGGAGTTTGGTAAACAGCTGTTGAAAGCCTGTAAGCTCCTTTCACTCTGTCTGAAGATTAGACGGACATACAGCAGTAAAGTATCATCCCTGTATCCTTAAAAAATAGTGAGTTTGAAAAGAGCTCCACAGGACAGGACTGAGACGGATTTAAACTTTGGGACCGATGACCTTTTTCCTACGTTACACATCAAATCACGGGGATTAACACGTATCCCTACAACTCTCCTTTGGGGACCAAAACACAAAAACCATGGCTTCAAAAACTTATTGTATGGAAACAAAAATATATTTTAGCATAAACTTCCTGAGCTGTGTCCAGTGACCCGGCTCTGCACCGGTTCACCCTTGTGGGCAGCAGTACAGCATGACTAATTCTGGCCATGAATCTCTCCCCCTACGGTTGTCTGTCACAGGAGTGATTTAGCTGGTGGACGACTCTTCTGGCTGAGGGAGAGACCATCTGAAGCCTGATCAGGCACCGCTGACTGTTCTGCTTAGTCTGTTTAGCACTGGAAAAGATAAAGTATTGCTTCAAGAATTCAGCGAACACGCACAAGCAGACAGGCCGGGAGACCCTGTTGCAGCGTCTTCATCCAGCGGGCAATCAAAGGGAATTTAAAAGATAACATGGAATGTGGGGAAGGGCTTGGATGTGCTGGGTGGGCAGGATTTTTTTTTTTTGCGTGCTAGCGTGGAAAAGTGAAAAGAGCGCGAGTGTTCATGTGAGGATAATGTGAGCCTCGCCTGGTTTTTGTACTGGCTTGTCATTTTTCTTTGCATGTGAGCTACAAGAGATACCCAAAGGACAGTGACCGGGAGCGAGCGCCCATGTTCAAGCTCGGTTTGGACCGAGACAGTTTTGGCTTGAGAAGCCTGTTTAATTTCAACTTTATCAGTCTTACTAAGACCATTGGACCACTTAACTGTGCTTTCAAACCCTCACGGAAAAAGATAAATGACAGTGAAAGCCCTCCCTGTTTACTCATCTAGTGAACGGGCTCTTCAGAAACATCCATTAATGTAAGTTGATGTCCACACGAGTGTTTATGTATGTGTTTACGAAGGACAAAAGGAAAGATATCAGAAGCAAGATATAGACAGAGAAAGAGGGAGTGAAAGGGAGGTATATCCCCGGGCCCACAAAGAGCTAACCACTCAGGACAGTGGTGTGCTTTCACTGAAGCAAGATTGCTCCATGAAATGTGGTTCTGTTTAGCGGGGTGTGCGTGTGTGTGTGTGTGTGTGTGTCCCAGTCTTTCATGGTGTCAGTGTGAGACTGTGAGACCCCCCGAAAACCCCTGCAGCCCAAAGCAAATCCTCCTGCATGACTGCACTGCATCACACAGGTACATTCTCCAGCACGCTGGACGCTTTCCACATGAATGGGCTGTGAAATCTGAAGTAAGGGCTCAGTTAGATTCCGACGGTGGAGCTACTTATCGAGTTGTTGGAAATGTACCAATGTATTGGTAACTAGCAGATTCCAGGTAACATCTTTTTCTACTCTGTCTATATCTCTCTTCCTCAAAAGAAGTTGTCGGAATAAATTAGGCCTGCCCACCAGGACAGCGTTAGGTGAAAGTTTTAAGAGATCAGCCAAGTTATTTAACATATACCTTATAGTATAGAAAAACATTTTACCCTCTTGATTATTCCTTTTAACAAAAGAAAAGGCCATGTTTTTTATGTATGATTGAAGTGTAACCAACAAAGGACAAGTGGGTAACAACTACAATCCCTAGTTTCAAGGAGCCGGGACACTGTGTGATGTGTGTGTTGAAAACTAAGCAAATAGGAAACATGTTACAAATTATTTAATTTCATGAAAAGCACATCAGCTCATGTTAAACTGATCTCTGATTTGTCTCTGAAACTGAGGAGGGTCGCTTGTCGGATCCTCACGATTGTTTGATGTGGAATTCTAACCGTTCGTCAGCCCTGGGCCTCCTGTTCTGTGTTTCGTGTTACTTCAAATGTTTTCAATTTGATAAAAAAGTCTGGACCGAATGAAAGACAGGACTCTTTTACCATAAAGCGATGCCATTGTAACACGTGCAGCGTAGGGGCTTGGACCTTCTCTGATGAGGACCCTGGCTCAATGGGGGGGGCATCTTGCTCTAAAACCTGCACATACCTGTCAGCTCTGATGGTGCCTTCCAGATGTGCATGCTTCCAGTTCCACAGGCTGCAGCCCAGCCCCAGACCGTCTGCTACTACACCGTCTCTGCGTCTTTTTCTTTGCATTGAGTGGCTTTAAACTGCATTTGCGGATGATACGGAGAATCGTCTTCACATTTATGCCCTCCGGAGCCGACTGAGTGATTTCCATGAGAGGCTCGCGTCTGTTTTTGATGCAGTTCAACCGGAGGGGCTGAAGACATGCAAAAGTGATTTTCAGCTGAAACTATCTGAAGATATTTATGGGGAAAAGGGGTCCAGAAAGAGATACAAACCAACGATAAATCCATTTGAAAAGACATAAAAACAAAGTACAAAAAAGCCCCGAACATAACAACAAAGAGATGTTTAGTGAAAGCAATCTGACTGGAAAGTTAAGATGCAAGAATTCGTACTTCAGTTTCAGAGCAATCACAACATTAATGAATAATTCATAAATGAGCTTTAGGACAGAAAAACTTACCTTTGTGTGCATTTCCAAAGGCCTTCTATTGCAGGCAGAGGAGGAGTTCAGGATGTTGAAGTTTGGTACAGAAGAAGAAACCCGATCGCTTCTGCCTTAATCTTCTTCATTTGTCATGTCAAATAAGCGAGAATCCCCTTTCCTCTTGACTTTTTCCATTTAATGAGGTGAAATCAGCTCAGCTGCTCTGACCCGTAAACCACCCAGACGCAGCTCTTTGGGTGTTAGCTTCCTATCAGCACTTGTGGCAACAAAACACGAGGATGTGTCAATCACAAACGCCCCTGGACATGAGCTAGCAGGCGATTAAAACACTGAGCCTTAGAAAAAGTTGTGAAAATACACTTGCTTATACACCTTTTGCTTAATTACTAAGTAAATATCACCTTTTCACAATGCTTAATTTCTAAAATATATATCCATCATGAATTTTCTTATTAACATGGAGAAAAAATGAATTGTATTCCATTGTGGGCTCATCTTTAGCCATTTCACCAAACTAAACAAACTACAATAAAAAAAAAAGATAATTTACACTGATAAACTATTATCTCACAGGTGGGGTAGCCCGAGGCTGTTTTCCCTTTCTGCTTTTTCTGATTGATGATAGAGAAGCCACAGTGGCTTTAGCGGCTTGGCCCCTCTTATAACAACTCCAGGAGTCTTTAGGAATGTGGGTTTGTCCTGCAGTCCGTTACTACCCCCTCTGTCTCTGCCTGACTGTGTCCCCTCCCCTCTTCCAAACAGGGCAATTCCCTAACTTTTTCTCCTTTTCTCACAAGGCTTTGGTTCAATATTCCACTGTGGGGCACTTATACTGTCTCAAATTGCTGCGCTCCACGACGCAAAAAGGCGCTCCAACCGCTGCAAGGTACTGTATGATGCCTGTTAGGGATATCTGGAAAGCTCTTCAATTTGAATATGAATGGATTAGATTGTGAGCATTGTTTCAGAAGCCCGTTGTTTGACGGAGATTGTCCTTTTTTTATGCATGACTATGCATGACTTTATGGATGGAGAAAGCACAGATCAAGCTGCCACAAGAAGTTTCAGAAAAGCATGGACGTTACACCTTTTAAAAAAAAATCTGCTTTTGAGGATTAAAAAAATAATATAGAATATCATTTTACTTATGTAAACGCTCGACATGTGTAAAGATCCTAAACTCTGATGGAGTGTTCACTCTTTAGATTTTTTAAAAATGTGTATCTGGAACGATGTCGCGTGTCAGAGCGTTTTTTCTCCATTCATAAAGTTGTGGTGACATGCGCAAGTTAGAGTTGTAATATCGTGGAAAAGCCGATTTTCCTTCCTGTCAGCTCCCGGCAGCTGGCAGTAATGGTGGCTCCGGACTGTGTGCCGCAGACTGAAACATATCTGTGCGTTTCTCCCGTCATGTGTGTCTGGAACTCTGCGCAATCTGGTGCGGACTCTTTCAGGCTTTTTCTGAAGCCCTCTGTGAATAATGCAATAGTTGCAATAGTCTGATACGCGCCGAGTCCCTGTGGTGATAAAAATGTTGGGAAATGAGGTTTTTCACGATGTTACTGGAGAACGGATGCTCTGATTTCTCTATTCTGACAGCACAGTCGCAGAACTGCTCCCGTTATTCGGTAATTGATCACAAATTCCTTTTGTTCGGCTCTGATCCCGCCTTCATGGCTCTCTAATGCAGGCAGAATCTATTTTTTTTCGTGTTCATGGAAATTTGGAGCAAGCTATACTAGTTAAAAGTGAATTTAAATATTAAAATCTTAAAAAAATTACAACATAAGATATAAGACATATAAGAATAATATATATATATATATATGAAGATGTACATTGGTGGGTCAAAACTGCAATTATCATAATGGGCAATTAGGCTTCTCATTAATCATTTTTTGCTACATTCACTGCTCATATATCTCTCTTCCACTAATATTGTCTAATATGAGTGTTGCAACATGGGGCCATAGCTCTTTTCTTTTCATTCTCCTGCCCATAAGAAATGTGGTTGGATTCATGTCTGGAGGGCTGGAGGTTGTATATCACCAGGGGCCCACCGTTCACTGGTAAAGCCTACAGTATATAATGAGGTGGAGAAGAGAAAAATAAACTTCTTGGCCGTCCAGTGCAGTTCCAGTCTGGAGTTAGCACATGACTGTAAGACTATACAATGAAGGCAGAGTTTGACAAAATAAAGATAACTAAATAAACAAACCCTGACTGCAACACTCATAATGAACAACAGTCAGAGTCATTTATCTTTATGCTTCTCAGCTGATAAGTTATTGGTGATTTTTAGAAGAGGAAACTCTTTTTTTCCAGGATGTAGAGTGAGCCATTTGTCATCTGACTGGACTTCACTCTTGAACTAATAATGAACCATTAACTTTAGCCCCCTTTGACTTTACCTCTCTGGCTCCCTCTAGGCCAAAGGCAACAAGCTAGATTTATGATTGGATGGGATTTGGATTTAATTTACATCACTTTTTGACATTTTGCTCTGAGAGTAGGATGTAAAATCACTATGTGTCCATTGCGCCATTCATTTAAAGAGTACTGACACTATAATCTCAACTAATTAGATATTGCGTCTACAATTCATGGCGTTCCTGAGCAGAGTTGCTCAAGAACAAGAACTCGCAGATTTTTCTGTAGTCTGTTTTCAATTCAGTATTTCTTGATAAAATGAAGCAAAAAATGTTGTGTAAATTTCTGATCTGATGAAAACTTTTTACTGTTAGATGTGGGTTCCTAACTTCTGTTTTCTTCCCCCGCTGTTTTAGGACCTACCTGGAGTGCACACCTGGACTTGGTCTGGATGCAGATCTAAAACCTGCGGCCCAGTCTGGATCCACACGGTCAGCTTAGAGACCAAAAGTGATCCGTAGAGAGGGGCCGATTCAGTCGGAGGGCTTGCCAGGTGGACCAATGGGATCGGGGCGGCTGGCTCAGGTGCTGCTTGGATGGGTGGCGGTGTGTCTTGGAGTGTTTCACGGGGCTTCCGGTCAAACTGGAAATGGACCGTACCAAGCTAGTCGCTTCACCGACAGCGTGGACCAGAGGGAAGTGCAGCGAGTTCGACGCCGTGGTCAGGAGACCCTGAGAGGGTGAGAACCTGTGTGTGCCACTGTGCAGTTTAAACCCAAAATGAGCAGCAGGGCGATGTGCGGTTAGCAATCAGGCCTTCGTAAGAGTGTATACAACTCTCCGAATCCGGGGGGGGAATTCAGAATATAAAGGTCTTTCTTTTCTCTGTTTTCCTGGCAGCTTTCTGGGAGCTGCTGTTCTTCCTGGGCTCAGGCCAAGCTCGCCTTACACCAAATTGTCTAGCTGAATACTACAGCATTGTTTTCTCCAAAACAGCACACGTCCAGTCTGACGGGCTGATCACCACACTGAACGTATTCACTGCAAGCTCGTGTTTTATTTCATGTGAAAGAGAGAAGAGAGCAGCTCTCTAAAAGGTGCCGTGAAGGCATGATGAGCAAAAAAAGCACGATCCGCCTTCCCATGAGTGTGTTTAAAAGTAGCAAATTCTTCAAGGCTCAAGTCCAGACAGCTAGTTTGGCACATAGAAGTGTGTGTGTGTGTTTTTAAAGGTGTTATTTATTTTTCTGTGTGTGGGGAGTATTGGGTTAATACAGGGATCACATCACCTCTTACCGGCTACAACCCCCTTCTCACACTCATCTGTAGCCCAGCTCCCTCACATTTTTAACTAAAACCTCACAAAGGTGGATGTGGTATATCTGCCTGCACGGCAAAAAAGGGTGTTTCTTTGTATATCTAGTATTTTCTTGAAAAACAAAGTATAATTTCTTGAAGCCTTCGGTGTCTGACTCAGTTATCCCAATCAGTCTCCCATATGTCCCAGCTTATGGCCCCCCCCGTGCCAAGTCACAGGAAATGAGGTATTGGTATCACCAGCGGGGGTATGAAAAGGGGCATTTGTCTATCGGCTGCAGGTGACAAATGCCCCCGAAAGAGAAACAGAGGCCAAGAACGGCATGAAAGATGGAGAACCTATGAGGGATTAGGGAGGAAATGGAATGAAATTGGGTGTAAACGCGAGACTCAACACAGTCAGTCATTTTGGGTTGTGGGTTATGGATCGTGCGGGAAAAAAACAAACAGTTCGTCTGGTTGATAAAATAGCTCGTTCGGCGGTTTTCTTCAATAGTCACGAGTTAGAGAAGATACGTTTTACGGTTTCTGTGTCACCGGTGCTTCTCGACTCTGACCAGGCCTCTTGTGACATGGTTATGGAGCATCTTTGATTAAACTCTGTGTGGATTCAGGCTGCAAAGCTGGACTACGACATGGGGGTGAATTCTGCAGATAGAACCAGACAGCAGACTTATTAAAGAAAACCTTTGATGTGTTTTATGATTGTTTCCCCTCCATTTCAAGGTCTTGTCTGGTAACTGTAACATAAATTGCCCAGACGTTACCTGCCATGAACTGCGGCGGTCGGGCCAAAGCACACACGTCTAAATGCCCTGAATCTCTGCCTGAGTGTTACTGCCTGAAAATGATTAGGCCTCGACTGAAACGGGGTAAAACCCGACATCATCGTGTAAGCCCATTTGGCCCAACCGCCTCTGGACGGCGGCCTTGAGGGTGGAGAAATCACATTTGCGGTGGGTAAATTTGTTGGCACCTTGTTGGGTTTTGTTCAATGCGAGCCAGTGTTTCTCGCATAGGAGCTGTTGGGTCTTATTATGGCTTCTCCTCAGCGATCTGTGCAAACTCATGCTTACGTCCTACTGTTGTACTTTGATCTCAGAGCTGCAGCGCTCACGGGGGACTTGCTATGGGTTAAACAATTCTCTGTGTGGGACATGGAGAGAGTTGGTTTAATGAAGGTCATTACTCTGGCCTTGGACTTGATGCGGTGTTGTTTAGCTGGCGAGGGCTCCACAACCCCTGGGGTTTCTCTGGTAGCAGAGCCTAACGCTTTCTGACTGGGATTTATTGGGTCCCACAGCACGCTGTACTGGCATGAGTCCACTCAAAGGTGGTATCTGATCAGACCTCAGACGTGTTGGGTGTCCGACCCGCTTTGCTCCATTAGTGATTGACTATCTACTTGGTAGAAAAAAGCAAGGGCATGGGGCTTTTTTTTAATCCCCTCTCTCGTTCATACAGATACCCTGCCAAGTTAAATTGGCAAATATTTTTCGTCTGAAAAGATCGTTGAATGTTAAACTTACAAATTCTTGCCAGGCGATTTTTTTTTTGTTGCAGCTATCCATTGTGTTGAATTAGAACTTCTTGGCTCGACTCTTTCGCCCAGAGCTGTTTTGGACCCCGGCTAAATTGGCCAACAGTCAGTTTCAAACGGTAATCTTACATGTAGTCACTCTAGTCTGGAATATAATGCCAATGCCATTCTGACTGCATGACTGAGGACATCTCTTTAGAGTGTGCCCGTACAAAGAAGTGGCGATATGGGAAAAAAAAGTACTTAAAAACATTCTGCATAAATTCTAAATATGTGTGTTTCTTACTCGACTGTGACACTGTAATTAATGCAGATGAATTATAGGGACTGCTTTCTTACTTCTTAAGTTATCGTAGGTAGATTTAATTGTGAGTCATTTGCATTTCTTCAGTTTGTGGCTCAGTACATTTTACTCATATTTAGTACTTAAATATACAAAGCTTAAAAACATTTTGTAGGTGTTCCACTGTTAAAGCATCTGTGTATCTCCTCTGGGAGTTGGGTCATTTTCTAAAGCCCGCATTCCCACATCAGCCTCACTTCTTGATCTGATGGGAAAACTACACCCTCAGGTGTCGCCAAAGGCATTACAAGAGTGAGCAGGCACCTTTGACCTATGACACCAGTGTACACACAGACTCCAACACACACATATGATGAGCGCAGACAGCGACTGTCAACGTCTGGTCACCGTCTGAATGGAAACAGACTGCCCATAGACATTTTTCATGCTGTTGACTCCTTTGATCAGCATGACTTCTGGCCAAGTGAATTCTTTCTTATACAGAACCCTCAGGCGGACGTTTAATTTTGCGTTGATAATCCTTTCTAATTTGTTTCAGAGAAAAAACTAACACAAATTAAACCACACTATTTCAGTGAAAAAAAGTAATTGACTGCTCAATTTGTTCTCATGACTATTTAGATATATGTCCATAAAATGGCAGAAATTGAAAAAGAAATTCCTTGAAAAGTTCCCATAAAGAAATAACACACATAAAATGTGTGTTTCTTTGGCTCTAACCATGTAGGTTGTCAGATCAAAACCATTAACCGCACACTGCTAACTTCAATCAAAGACCATCTGTGGGTGGTAGCGAACTGGAAAAATAAGAAATGTTGACTTTGAAGTAAGGAACATATAGCACTTGGCAAAAGTTGAACTTAAACTCTTTTGCTTTTGGGGCAGGTGTTTAATATCATTGGCAAATGTCTGTCCATGCATCAGCGAATGAGATGTAAGCGGGATAGGAAATGTCACTAGTTCTGTAATGGGGACTGAAAATGATTTTTCCCAGTGATGCTGTTCTCAGTAGTCTTGTGTACAGATATATGTGTCCTGTACCCAGCACTATAAATATAATATATCATATTATCATATCATTGACTGACCCTGCATGAGACTCTGTCTGGTTTTTATTCTACTATTTGCAACCGTTGGTATTTAAACAAAGTAAATTTGCCCTATCTAAAATTGCAAATAATGTGCAAAAAATATAGATTTAGAGGTCTAACCCAAATTTTCCCAGGATCAACTTTGTTTTACATTTTACCAGTAACTCAAAATCATTAAGATTTTTATCAGTGAAAATACCTTCCTTGTCAACTTTGAGCTGTGGTTAGAGTATCATTTTACTTCTGGATGCATGTGAACCATTTTGCTTTTATTACTTTTAATGACAGTTAATGAGAGATCCACAGTGCAGGAGGCATCTTCAAAGGCTGTGACAAGACCACAGAGGAGTTAATCTCCTTTAGACGGAGCCTTGGGAACTGTGGGACATTGCAAAATTGTGTATCTCCCCCGCAGTTTAAACTCCTTTTAATGGCTGATTATCATACTTTTGTTCATTATAAATCTTCTTCTTTAGTAATAAGAGAACAGGCAATGAGGGAAAGGCTGAGAGGTTGAAAAGGGAAGAAAAACAAACCGGTGTCTGATTGCAGAGTTGGGCCTATGCAGGCCTTCATATGTCAGCAACCCACAGATCTGTAACAGTGGAAAATGTTCAGTATGTAAAAAAAAAAAAAAAGGGAGATTTTTTTGTGCAGGAATGTTAATGTCTTCCTCTTCCCATTTCAGTTTTTTTTTTCTTCAAAAAATTTGTTTGGTTTTGTGTTTGACCAGAAATTCAACCCCCTCCAAGGATCTGGCCTCCTCTTGCTTATATTGCTTAGTTTCCATATCACTGTGTTCCGCTCCCACTCTTTCTCCTCCTCCTCCTCCTTCCTCCACTTCTCAACATAAACTTGTTTTGTTTTTTTTCCCACCATCCTCTCTTCCTGAGCCTCAGTCTTTTCACACTTTGTCTCTGATATGGAGCATTAATGCTTTTAGTGAAACTGTACATGCTTCTAAAGTGTTCCTTCCTTACAAGTGGCCTACGTTTTTCCTTGTCTGCCTATCTATCCACTAAATCTGCCCACATGAATAGCTCCTGTCTGCCTGCCCACCTGTTTGTCTGTCTCTCTGTCTCCCCGTGCCATCTGGTAATGTATTTGGAGGTGTGCTCTGCTTTCCGTCCATCAGAGACTCAAACCCCAGCTGCTATCTCCCTGGCGATGGCCAAGGGTTAACACGGTTACTGTCTGGTGCAGCGGGGAGGAAGGTCAACCGTTTTACAAGGAAATAACTTCACGTGTTTATCAGAATCAGCACCCAATTTCCAGATTTACTGTAGGCCCTCTCAGTTTCCAACTTCTCCAGCTGTAAAATGTCTTATGATAATGAGAAGTTGCACAATGGTCAAACTGTTCAAATTGGAATGATCTTTGGCCAATTTGCTGATTAAGTTTGATCATCTAGATATTACTCCATTAAAATATTTGATATCCTGCACCGCTGTCATAAAACACTGGATAATCTAATGCCACTGAAAACAGTTCTGCCCAGTAATGTTGAATAAATTGCGTGCAGAAACAGTCTAGACTAAAAAGATGCAATCCAAAATGGTGGGCAATTACTTTAACATGGTCATTTGGACCAAGCTGTCTCTCAATATACCATGCTGCTGTCACTGTGTCCTCAGTCTAAGCATCAGCAAATGCAAACAACTAACCACTAAACAGAAATGCCCTTTATTACACACTGTGAATGGTTGCCCAGTGAAACCACATAGCTGGAATATTTTTAGTTTGTTCAACAGTTCCGTGTGGAGCTGAATCTCTTTAACATGAGTTTGGGATGGATTCTTGTTTTTATCAATCAGCAAACAGATGTTCTGTCGAGTAAGTCTGTGATTATTCAGGGATTAAAAAAAAAAAGTGCCGTGCTCTTAACATTTGCTTGTAAAGCAGCCGTGGATTTTAGACCAACTGCACGTTTACGAGTGTGTGAGTCGGTCATTTTTAGATGCGGTCTGGGCATTTCCTCCGAGAAAAACTTTGCGGTTAACCTGTCAGGCCGGTGGAGCGCCCCGTGTGCTGTGATGACTCTCACATCTGTCAGGCTGGGTCAAGGTTTGCTGCCGGCTCTCCGTGAGGGAGAACCAAAGCTGGGCAGTGCTGGACATTTGCCAAAAAAACAGGAGGGCCCGGCAGGGAATCCGAGAGAAAGCAGGGACTCCACACAGAGGAGAGAGTTTAGCTTATAAAAGAAGCACTGTTCTATATTTTGTAGGTCCCTTAAATTTTCTCTTCTACTCCCTGCTTCAAAATACTTTCATCCATCTTTTGGGGAGTATTATTTTATTTTAGATCATTTATTATGAAATGTGTGTATATATTTGTTCAGGGATCTAACTGAAATATAGAAGAGATGTCCGTGTGGATAGTAAATCTCCTTGTTCTGTCTTTTTGTGCCCAACAGGCCCAATGTTTGTGGCTCCCGTTACCACTCATACTGCTGCCCTGGCTGGAAGACTCTGCCCGGAGGGAACCAGTGTATTGTTCGTAAGTTCCTCCATTCCTCACCATCTTTGATACAATAACACAAAGCTCAATGGAGACGAGGCCGAGCGTGCATGGCGTGAATCAGCGAGCGTCACAATATATGGCTGGAGATGGAATATAAAGAAACCCGATTCGGTTAACCCTCCCCGGTTCTCTCGTTCCTCTACCTGTGTCCAGCAATCTGCAGGAATTCTTGTGGCGATGGCTTCTGCTCCAGGCCCAACATGTGCACCTGCTCGAATGGCCAGCTCTCTCCCAACTGTGGAGGCGGAGGAGGAAGTGAGTATATCACCACTCCCGTCACAAACATCCGGTCCCATCGTAAGAAGTGAGGAGATCAAATCAAATCATGTCAGAACTTTACTTGTTTTGCATACCCACTTATTGGACAATCCGATCTGTCGCATGTGTTTTTGTGAAGAGCATCGAACAGGAAACTAACTTTTTTACTGTTTTTCCACTGGCGCCTCCTTGGCGCAGCATGGTGGGCGCTGATTGGCCAGCTGATTGGTCACATGATTTACCTGAATCCTGCCCATTTTAAAAATAGGACTTCACCAAATGTGCCGTTTCCTTATTTCTTTCTCATAAATGGTCTGACACCAAAGTTTGCACCGGGTCCTTCATTACTGTGTTGTGCTTGTGTCATGTATGGGTGACGTCACGGGCTAGTCCCCCCCCCCATTCTCTGTTTGGACCTCATTTGCAATTTCCCAAACCAGTCATGTTTCTAAAGTTTGCCTTGACAAGGCAAGTGCTCTGTCACAGAGGGGTGTAGGGTTGAGAAGGTACCAATGGAAAACCCCAGTTTAGAACAAGGGTTAAAGTATAAAGTTGCAGGTTGTCTGCTCCAAAATCCGCCGCTAACTAAGTCTTTGGGGGTCCCCGGCTAGCAGGTCATTGAGTTTGTTTGGATTAAAGCTGCGGATCTGGCTGCCCTTGCTCAGTCTACTAGGCTTAGTTACAGACCACTCGGGATGTGTGTTTGGAGTGAGGCTGAAATGTTTCATACGGAGTTTGTGAAATCGAATATGACCTCATGAGATTCCTGCTGTGTGTGCAGGTTTCAAAATAATTTTTTACGTGCTGGACATGGTGAAGACAGTGTTAAGTACCACTTGGGGACCGTGCATGTTGTGTGTCAATAAGTATATTAAGTAGCATACAGTGCGGTCAGCCTCATTGCTTTAGTTGGCCAAAGTCATCGCATCAGTCACGCTGGACCCGTCAGGCCTCTCAGTCAGTCCCACATTCCAGGAAGCCCACAAACGCACTCATTTTCTCTCAAAGCGAAGCTTCCACGAGGAGAAACAAGAGGCACCCGCTCTCCTATTCAAACAGACACACAATCAGCATCTTCTGGCTGTGACCTGGAGGTGTAAAACCTGATCTGCCTCATCTATAAAGGAGGGCCCGGCCTCAACTGAAAATGGTGGAGGGCGGCGGGAGTGGAAATTTCCTGTGACCCGCTCGATGTCCCGCTGAGTCGGGGCTTTGGTGAGACCTATGTAATCGTGGCTCTCGGGGGCTTTCATAGGCGAACGATAAATTATTGCGACAGCTCCTCGGAGCGGGACTGAACTTACAGTCATGCTGTGAAGGTAGACTTCCCTCATAAGGGATTACAGAGGCTTTTGTTTGCCTTATAGAAAATGGCCGAAACGCATAGAGATGCTGTGTCAGCATACTGAAACCTTCTTCTTGTACAGTTAGCAAAAGGAAACTAGACGACTGTTGAATGTTCTCTTGAATTCGTGCTACAGTTTATGATTGATGCCCAGCATATGGTGTGGACTGTCAGCTATGGGCCCCTCCTGAGAAATTTAACGAGTCATGCGCCACAAACGCGGTGCATCCGCGGGTCAAAATGTAAAAAGTCACTGGATTCGGTTCCAACATACTCACACAGTAAATATTTCTTCATGCTGTTTGTACATGCCGAGCTCATTTAACAATCAGCTCGTCCTTCAAGTTGTAGTTCCCCAAAGACTAAAAGAAACAGCGTTAATATATATACAGTATATATTTTTTCAAAGCGAATAATTGAACACCAAAACAGTTAAAAGGGTTTTAAGGACCAAACTGGAGACAATTGTATATATATATATATGTGTAGATATATTATGTACTTAGATGTGAAAAGCCATCCTTGGTGAGAATCCATCGTTTAATTGGATGATTCAGGGCAGGGCTGCAGCTCTGTCACCCTGGTTTGCTCTTTTTATATCCTGTGTATAGGCTGAGGAATGAGGCCCGTAATAATAATAATAATAGCTCGTTTCCGAATCTCTGGAGTCTGCCAAAAAAAAAAAGTCTCTGTGGAAGCACTGGCAGTGTTCGTCAGATGCACATATTTATACAATTTGGAGAGTTAAACTTTCATGAAGCCAAGGTGACTTTTTAAGTGCTTGACTCACATTTACCTGGAAGTCCATGTCATTTCCCAGACAACCAGGCTTCACACTAAAGCTCACCCTTGTAATAAACACTTTTAGAGCAGAGCAGATGTGCGGAGGATCGTATATATGGCTACCTTTATAACCTTGTCTTCCCATAACCATAATTACTAAATCATTACCAGGGATGTCCTTGTCCCATGGCAGAGAAACAGCTGTCCTTAGACGGAGAGGCTTCCATAGGTGATTGGAAATGGGCAGTGCCGAGCCCTGGGAAAGTAGAGAGGGAACGTTTTGATTAGAAGCCGTGCCTTTTCAACATGCTCCACCATGACTGTGTATGATGCTGTGTGCTTCAGGCATGAGGTCAGCAAACAGTTTCCTAAGTGAATACGTTTCTTATTTACTCCGAAAATTGATGACATGTGTTCTGTACAGAATTAGCTGCACCGAAAACAATGCGAACAATTGTAAGTGTCCTGAACTGGAAAGACATCTCTGTGCTTGCATGTCAAGCTATTTTTTTTTTAACCGCAAATTACGTAGCTTTCAATATCTCCACATGGTCCGTCCAAGTTGAAACTGATGCCGACTGGTCCCTGGTCCCCGAGGTGTGTGTAAATCAAGACAAAACACAGCCATAAAGCTTTTCAGTTTTCCATCAGACACACATTCCTCCTCACTAACGCACTCGCATTCTAGTTGGGACTTCCTGTGTTTCTCAGCCGCTCGTAAAAAACACCCAGATGTGAGCGGCTCACCGACGACACCAGCAGAACACAGAGGTGCATTGTGCCACCGCGGTACTCCTCCTGCTCACTGTTCTGGGGGACACGCTGGAACTCAGGCGGATGCCCGTCCCCCTTTTTTTTTTCTTTGGCGTTCCACGTGCAGCTTTCCAGGCACGGGCGACTGGGGCAAACTGTTCTCTCTCCACCTGCAGCAGGACACGGACTGCCATGAGGAAAGGGGGGGGGGGGGAGATAATTAGTGAGATCATCCCCTGTCGTGTCCAAATGTGCTTCTTTCCGTCCCCTTTCGCCTCCTTCTCTCAACCCTCTCACACAACCTTCCTGTTACAGAGAAAACACATGACGTCTTGCCATCTTTCCAGTCTGGTATCTCATCAGTCTCCTTTTCAGAGTTCAGGGAGTTCAGTTAGTTGACAGAGAAGCTCCCACCATAAAGGATCTTTCCCTATTCTTCCTTGACCTATTTAAAAATATGCTTTTGTGGAGAGGGGCGGGGGCCCCGGGGTTTGTTACCCAAATTGCCCTCAGCTTAGCGGAAGTCTTTTTTGCTTCACACTGGAATGGTTTTGCTTCATGGTTTGTTCCACAGCAGGGAAAAGTGTAATCAGTCACTGCCATCATTATTCATGTTTCACGTCTTAGCTCTCATTGTTGGCCGTAAAGTGAAGAAAGAGACTCATACTTGTGTGTGGTGTTAACCACACGTCTCGCATGAAGCCTGGCCTCTCTCCTGTGAACGAGGAAAAGGGGGAGAAAAAGGCAGAGACAGACGCTAGACTTGTCCCAGCACTCCAACTTTTAAGTTCAGCCTTCCCCTAGAGTCACAAAGAATTTGCTTTATGTCATCATCATGTCTTACCACAAAAATGTTGTATCTGTCAATTTTTTACATAGTGAAAGCCAAGCGTTTGCCCAAACACTGTCTGTATGCATTGAATATATGGAACAAATTAAAGCTATGTTGATTTTATCAGTGAATAATAAGTCTGCTTTGAATTAACATAAACCACCACATCCAAGATTTCTTGCAATAGCGCTTTGATTCGTGTAAAACAAGTCTGTCCTGCTCAACCTTCCAGTAAGCCAGACGCCAGTGATCCCAATGAAAAGCATCTTAAGGGTTGATTTGGCCGGTAGGACTCACACAAGTCATATTTAGGCTCAATTAAAATAAGTGGGTGGATTATAGTGGCTGAAATACCTCCTGTTGGCAAGTGTGCAAACTAGAAAAAAAAAGAAATCTCATCAGACAAACTCAGCAATGGGGAACCTTGGTCATTTCCCATCTGCTGCACAGCTCTGCATGCCAGAAATGTTAAAGAGCAAAGAATACACAAACAGGCAGATGGTAAGAGAGAAGGAAGCAGATAGACAGGGAGGAAATTAATGTTGAACTTGCGATTAAGACGTGGACACCAAAGACACAAAAGCCACAGAGGATTTAGGGGGAAAAAGTAGAATCAAAGGAGTCTGAAAGACAAGTTGGTATCCGATTGAGTCTATTTGAAAGTAAAAAAATAAAAACTTTTTGAGAGAGCAGCTGCTATGTCACCTAAAGTTTGAAAATGTCTTCACTTCCTTTCTGCTGGCTGAGCATAAAGATTGTTTGTCCTGTTGAGGCTGCTTCTGCGTGTTTCATATTATCAGATTGACCTTCTGACCTTTATAAAGAAGCCTACAGATCATTTTGTTTTTTAGTTTCTCCAGCATCCTCCTCTTAGCAGTTTATTCGATTCAGACATTCCTGACATTTCTTTACATTTATTCACATTTATCATCAACTGGTTACCGTTTTCCTCTGACTCGATTTATCTGATTATTCTGCTTGATTAGTTTAGTTTGTGATCATGGGGCTATCTATCCTTCTCAATCAATCTCGAATCTCTGAAGAGAAAATAAGAAAAGACAGACAAAACAGAACTTATTTGTTTAAGACCTGGTGGTTTCTGACATGATAATCGTATTTTGTCTTACAGTCCAGTCCTGTAATGTCAGGTGCATGAATGGAGGCAGCTGCTCAGAGGACTCCTGCTCCTGCCCTAAAGGATACATAGGCAACCACTGTGGACAACGTGAGTAGCTAGCTGCAGCAAAACATCTGGATGCAAATACTTCAGTGCATTCAAAAATATTCTACCAGGTGTTTTATCTTTGATACACTTGGATCTCACAAGTGTACAGAAAATCAGCAATCTGAGCTGAATATATTCTACGGATACGGTGAATCGGTGTCAGTGTTTGTTGTGTCTGCCTTTGCATTCTGTGTAACAATAACTCCCCAAACTTCTGTCTTTGTTAGCTGTGTGTGAGAATGGCTGCCAGAACGGTGGGCGCTGCATTGGGCCCAACAGATGCGCCTGCGTCTACGGTTTCACCGGCCCGCAGTGCGAGAGAGGTGAGAAACCATTTTTCTGTTCAAATAGTCCGTTATCTTTCTGCTCAGGTCGGTGTGATGATAGTGTCAGTCCCTGTTTGGGACCGATGCTGATTGCGTGTACTCCAACATGGGTCTAGTATATGTGGGATTACTCCTAAATGATAGTCTTTGATAGAAGGAAAACACTAGAATAACTACATAAGCCATATGGATGTTTTTGAGTAATTAAGACATTTTCGGGTTTGCTTTGGAGATAGAGTTATTAGATGTGATCGCTTACAATAATTGTGGTCATCCAGCATCCAGTCATCTTCAAGCAATTACAGTATAATTTTCTGGATAAACTTAGGTAATAAAAAAGTGATTAATGAAATGTTAATGCCAAAAATGTAAAAAATAAGAGGTATCAATAAATAAGAAGTTTGATATGAGTGAGTAACTTTCCTCAAATGTCCTCAAACGTGGCATCAGATGAGCCATGATGGACAATAATCATCAGACTGGAGGGGCAGAAAGGTGTGGTTTGACTTTCTGTTGAGAAAGGTATTGATTCAGGAAGGCTTTGATGTTGCTTTTTGGCTGTCGAGATTGTTCCTATCAGAAGAGATTTTCTCTTGATTAAGCGCTTGGTGAGAGCAGAGGATGACTTCATGCGCTCAGACAGACGGTGGGTGTTTATCTCCTGCGCTTTGATCCGTGGCCTGTGGTATGCGTGTGGTGGGAAGCCTTGGCAGGGTGCTGGAAGTAGGTCATAGAAAAGGAGATTTAACCCCCCAAAAAAAAAGTTTTAATTGGCGATCTTCTTTCATTTCGTTCACGCTGTTCGAAAAGGAGAAGAATTAGTTTTGTCATGAATCTTACCTGCCACTGACCCATAACTTCCCCTTTTCCTGGACTCCGCTTCTTCCTACACCCTGCTGACATGCACTGTAAACCTGTAATTGCACTCGATTCATCTCAGCCTTCCCTCCACATTCCGTCTCTCCCTTCTACAGATATGTATGCGTGCCTTTATAAAAAAAAAGCCGTTTCCTCCTTACACACACATGCGTTTTGTCTTCTGTTCTGTTCCTTTTATCACCATGAATTTAACGTTTATCAACCACTTAATCAAATTCTACAATACTAACCTCCATCTACCCCCCCCCCCCCCAAAAAAAAAAAACTCAAAATCCTGTTTCCCCCCAATTAACCCCCTTTTAGGGTCGTTGTTTGGGAGGGGGATCTCTAAAAAACTCCAAAAAAAAACACCCCCCCCCCCCCCATCCACGCAACATCCCCACAGGACTGACAAAATAGAGTTTCTTTGTGGACTGCTCGTGGACATTTCCTGATGAGGAGTGGAACAAGGTAGTGAAGCAGAGACAGGGGGAGGGTGTTCGGAGGGAATAGGGTGAAAATGAAAATGGGCTCCCCAGCTGTGTACACAAAGCCTGACTAAAGCGAGGGGAGCACAAACTCCCCACGCTGGACCAGCAGAGTGACCAGAGATCCTTTAGGTGGGCTCATAAATCTCTGTTTGTGTGGGACTGTGATGCCGGACAACATTTGGTTTCACATATAATTCTGATATTAGCTAATTATTAAAGGATAGCTGTAATTAAATTCCCTACGAACCGGTGATGGATACAGGCAGAACAGCATACTCGTCAAAAATTCCCATCTTACAAATTTCAGATCACACTGGGTTTGGTCTGGAAAAAAAAAAAGGCTGCAGCTTCTCTTGAGTATGGTTTAGTGCTTTCGCTGTATATTGCGGTTTGTGAGTTTGTGTAACTGAGGCCACGAGTCATTAGATTTACTGCCTGATTCGGTGAGAAAATTTGCTGATGAGCTGGGATTATGAAAGCAGTGTAAGTTATCCAGCGCGGGGAACTGGGTGTGGATGGAATCGTGGGAAGCCTCTGCATGTGTGGAAAGTGTGTGCACGTGCAGGGCTATGCGAGCTGCTGGATGGATGTGTGAGCTTGACTCATACAAACTTAACATTGAATGGAGTTTAATATAAAAAAAAAAAACTGAATCTTTCATTTTTCCATTGGCAACATCACGAGCGTCTACAAGTGAGTTCTCAACAGCTATTGAATCGTTTTAAACATAGACATAAAAAAACAACACATTGTTACATTATCTTTATAAAGAAACTTCATCTTGTGGCAGCATCAGTGTTTCTCGCATTAAAAAACATATTCCGCAGCTGTATCAGTGACATTTTCCAATCATTTTTTAGACACATCTAGCTCAGGAAAACAGTCTGCCCCAGTTCCAAGTCTCCTTCTACAAGACTGTGGATCTGTCCAGTATCTGGACATTGTGGTCCAGTACAGGCCAAATTGGATGACAATGGCAGAGGAGCGATTTGCATCCCGACAATAAGTGACATCACAGGCATTTTGAGGAGATGGAATTGTCGGAAGTTGAGTTGTTTCTGCTCCTCTGTCTCCGGCTGGGAGAGAATGGCCGGACAGGATGGCTGCCCAGGCGTCGGGGTGGGTGGGGCTCCAGGGACCGTGTAGGTCACCCTGTGGAAAATGTCGCCAATGGCAATTCAAGTGGAGCCAGCCATGTTGGAGCCACTTCACTAAATTTAGTCTACATTACGTCTATTTTGCCTCTCATAAGTGACCCGTGTGTCGATTTCTGATGAGCGACGCATAATAAACCTATTGAGCCACAGAAATACCTACATCCCGTGCCCTGCAAACAGGCAGAATATATTTTAAAATCCTGAAACACTCAGCTTTAATCCAAGCCCAAATGTCTGTTTACAGGTTCCACTCACATAATGACCAATGTGCCTCATCCAAATCTGATTACATGTTCTGAACTGGATCACCGTACTATGGGTTGAGTATAATTAAGAGTCACGTTTCACAAGTTGTTTCAAGTGTCAGATCTTTTTTGGACACACTAACTTTTGATGATCTATCTCATAAACAAAAAGTCTGGCAAAGCATCTATGTGCTCTTAAGTTTTCTGTAGTGGCTTTGGTCTTTTTAAAAATAGATTTGTGTGACGGGATGGTGATGGAATCTCTCAACTTGCTGGATGACAAACCAACCGATTGCCTCTTTTTCAGCTGGAGAGAAAGAGACACGTCAATGTTAATATTACCAAAAGATACCGAAAACAGGCTAAATCCCAAAGGATGAATTGATAAAGGATAAAATAGGCAAAATAGGTGATGTAGATTTACATTACAATAAGTTAAGTCCATTTACAAATAACAAGATTTAGAACCTGATGCCATAAGTTGTTTCGTTTAAGCTTTTCACTGATATGAAAAGCTCTGAGATCTTTTGAAACTGTTTTGTGTGACGTGTGGGATCCGCTGAGTTTTCTTTACAAGCATCGAGTCGCATTAGGGAGGAGGCTTTCAGAGCTTCAGCTTCTCTGTAGCGTTTCTCCCACAGTTGTTGTCCCTGTGTGTGTGTTTGTGTGTGTTTACATTTGTGCTGTGTAAAACATCCAGTCACGTCTGAGTGGCTGCCTTTGGGGTGGATAAAAGGGGCAGACTCTTTGAGAAGTGATTACAGCTGAAGTAAAAGAGAGATCTCAAGCCTGCTGATAAAGATAAGACTTAATAGAGACCGCCACGGTTGGTCTGGATGGAGATAAAGTTCCCCAACGTGCTCACATACAAACACACACAGCAGCCCACACATATGAATGATCCATTTATAGAGGGACACACAGACACAACCTAAATGCTGCAGATTTCAGAAGTCATGCTACACAGCACTCTACACACACCAACAGGAATGCACACACAGGGTCATTTCAAATTTTCTTAGAAGGTGTGTTTGGGCTTGAGGTTTAGGCAGGGAGAGAATCTTCCAGCTGTATAAAGTCTGGAGAGGACATCCGGTTAAAAACATGTGCATGTTCAGACACACACACACACACACACACACTCAGAGGGTCTACAGGGTTATATTTCTTCCCCTTATTCGTTTGACCCGTCCAATTCTTGTCATAGGAAAGTATGCATAAATGATAGTAACCTCATTTCCATGTTTTAAACTCTTATTTCAAATTTCCTCCGTCGGGACTTTTAGAAATGTCCTCTTTTTTTTTAGAAATACTTAAGCTGTTATTAATGAGTCTGAAATAAGTGCTTTCCTTTTCTCTTTTCACTCCAAGGGCTGTGGTCAACACCAAGTCCCATCTCTGTGATCCCATTATTAACTATAGCTGATGGGAACATGTTTGAGTTCTAGCCAGGATTAGATATTCTCTCTCATCTGCCTTTACGGCATGCAGAATAACATTTTTATCATTGTTCACATTTTTCTTTCATAAAATGAATTTCATAAGCTCTGGCTTAATCTTAAAAACACAATCGCAAGTACAAAGTTTTATCCTATTAAATCTTGGAAATAAGATGGCTGATCCATTTGGACTGAGCCAGGTCAAGTCGTGGTGAGGGGAGATTACAGCTAAAGGCAGTTTAGATTTTTATCAGCTGTGTCTGTGTTTGGAAAATAAGCGCATTATCAACTCTAAGAATGAAACGAGTCCATTAAGTCTGACACAAATTTGGCATCTTTCATTATTGATAAAAAAACGACTTGCAGTGTTTGAAAGTTTTGAATGAGACTGGGGAAATCTTCATGGGAGTCAGGGGTCACTAACAGTTTATCCTTTTTGGGGGTAAAAAGTGAAAAGGGGACGGCAGAATGTTTTGATCTGTTCGGCTATTTAAACTCTTAATTAGAGAAAATTGCTTCCAAATGTTATCAGCTGAGTCTGGATGCTGGATTGCCTTTGTGCCCGCCTGTGTTCACTGAGCTCCAGACTCTGGACTGATGGATGGAATAGGTTTTTCTTATCCACACATATTTCCGCGCAAAGCAAACAAAGGTGCCGACCCATGGCAGGCACCTTATGAACGACAGCCCGAGACAGACAGATTATCTTTACTGTTATCTTTACACAAATTCGGATTGAAGCTCGGACTTTGTGGCCGTTTGGACAGATGCCGTTTTCCTGCAAGCAGGTGGATGTTAACGTGTGCTTTTCTCTGCAGACCTGCAAGATAGCTGAGAAAGGCTGTTTTTGCACCCTGAAAAAAGAATGCGTCTGCTCATATATTTGATGCAAAGCATTTGCAAATACTTCCAAACTTGGTGGTTGGAGCCAACTATTTTCTTTCATTTAGTCATCCATCCATTTTCTGAACTGCTTATCCCCAAATGGGGTTGTGGTCATTTAATAATCTTTTCAGAATACTTATTTACTTAATATTTTCAAGTTTCTTGAAGTTTCTTCAAGATAACAAAACATAGCATGAAAATTTGGTCACAGCTTGTCTCCTTTAGTATTAGCTTCAATATGTTTCTTCTTACCTTTTTAAATTCAAGATGGAATTTGTAATGTGAAATAAGATCACACATAATGGCAATTTTAGTGGAAACAATAGATGCCAAACTGGCATTATTGTTTAATAATCCCTGACTGCACACTTTAGGAGCACATCTGTTAATTTAGCTCAGTTGCATTCAAAAGCTATTTTACTAATTCTGTATTTTCAAAAATATCTTTCTCTAAATAACCTGAATCACTTTTAGAATTATTAATCAAACTCATATTTGATCACACCATTACGATGCACTTGATATTTTGACATTTTTAAGAGGTATACGTGTATGTCTGTGGAGCCAAGACGACCCCTCATATTAGAAATCAGCAGAAGTTGATCAATTCAACAAGATGTCTACTATTCTTATAACAAGCATCCCTCGAGCAGAACCAAATGCACCCTGTTTTCCCAGATTCTGGGTGAATCTCTCTGATGGATTATATGGAGAAATAAACTTTGTTGATTTTGGGCTTCTTTCTTGGATCCGTCACTAAATGAAACATCTGACAAAGCTTCTAGTCCACTGGAAAATGTATATATCTGTTGCAGAAAAGGCAGGGCGTGTCTGCTTTTTTCCCCTGAATTTAAGTATAAATGCGTATGCAGGTATGCGATACATAAATGAGGCCTGCGTGGTGCCAACCAGATCACGATTAACGATCAAAGCAGGGCTGACAGACAGGAAAGAAAAGTCAAAGACAGACATGAAGACTTAAAGTAGTCAGAGGGAGACGCAGACAGATGGATAAGAAGGGGACCTGGATTTGGTCCCAACTTACAGTTTGTATGCACACTTTGACCTACTTTCTCGTCTCATCCCCTGCTTTTCTTTGCCCTATGTAACCCTCTCCTCCATATGGACAGTGCATGCAATGGACCACTTCCAGTAGACACCATGGAGTCCTATCTTTCCATCTCGATCTGTCTTTTAGAGCTGAGCAGGCTGTCACAGCTTTGACTAGTCAGCCATGCAGTTGCCTTGACTGTGACAATCTTGACAATCTACTATTTCTTTTTTAAATGAGGATATATTAAGTGTGGCGCCACTGAAGAGAACTTAAAAAGGGTTTCTCCATCAAGGGAAGCCATCATTAGGCTGTGTGAGATGGAAAGGACGTATAGCACGCAGTATTGCTGAAATGGTTTCAGCATGAGGTCTTTGTGTTTGATTTACAGGCTTATTATCCATTTTAACTGGCAAGCAGCACCGTAGTTAGAAAGGACGTTGATCAGGGAATCTTGTGACATTTTGTTCGTCCTGAATTTCACTTTAAATGGTTGTGATTGAGTTAATTTCCCTTCAGTATTCTTACCCAAACAGATTATCCTGGATCTGTCTTACTTTTCTGAGATACTGTGCCTTACATTGCATTTGGTGTTAAGGAGGTTCCCTATGTTTTTTAAAAATGTAATGTAACAGTGTTGTGGTTTTAGTCATTGCGTGGTGTTTTCGATGGATATGCAAACCACCGCTGCTTTGCTCAAGTACCGGAATGTGTGTCAGTGTGAACAAAGGCTTAAAGGCATAGCAGCCATTCCAGACCTAATGCCAAGTTCCTGCTGGAAGAAACCGTGTGGATGTTTTTTGCAGACTAATTTGAGCAGGTTTTATAAGGATGATGTCTGAAATCAGAAGCCAGACAGGATCTGTAATGTTCTTCTAAGTTCCCAGTAAACCAACTCAAGTGCATGCTTATGTGCACATGCAACTCATGAGACTTCTTCCTTTTAAGCACTTTGCAATCATCTAGTTTTAGGAGGAAAAAAACAGGGGAGGAATGAAGAAAAAAGAAAATAAAGAATGGAAGAAAAATAAACCATCAAATAGATTTTTTTCATTTAATCTGGTTTCATTTAAAGCAGCAGCAGATGTGCAGGAGGAAATGAATCACTGTCTAATCATTTAATCCATCATCTAATCCCTCACCAAACAGACTACAGGACCGGACCATGTTTCACCCAGGTGAACAACCAGATGTGCCAGGGCCAGCTGAGTGGGATCGTTTGCACCAAAACCCTGTGCTGCGCCACCATTGGCCGAGCCTGGGGCCACCCCTGCGAGCAGTGCCCCGCCCAGCCGCACCCCTGCAGGCGAGGCTTCATCCCCAACATCCGCACCGGAGCCTGCCAAGGTCTGAGCCCCCCGCGTCTCACACACACGCACCTGACCAATCTCCCGTTTGACCTCACGGGAACAGTGTCGAAGGATACATTTAATAACACACACACGTGCCTGTGCGCTCATCCACACACACAACTGCGCCGAAAACCACAACGGTAAACATCCCAACCACTACTTTATCCATCATCATCCCAGCTGAGATCCCCCGGAGCAAAACATCCTCAGCCTGGTGTCAACAACACTGATGTTCCATGTACACAGTTGGCCGGATACAAATTTGTGTTTTCCTTTTCCTGTTCCTATTTCACAATAGAAAAAAAAAGGATTTTGTGTTTGGGTAAAGTGCTTCGGTAAATATCAACATTACAACGTCTCCCAAATTTGTTCCCTCTTACAGTTGTAACAACCAGGTGTCTAAATGATGAATAATGGACGGTGAAAAAAAAAACAACTTTTCACTGCCGCCATAAGGGCTTTGTACTTCCTTTGGCAGCTCAAATTAATTTTATAGACTACTGAGAGTAATAGTTAGGCAGTAAAAAATGTTCTGCACAGGGATAGAGACATCAATTTATTTTTTGTAATAAAAGTACTGGCTCAGATGTGACAATATTTACGCAGAACTGCGGAATTACACAATGAGAATGGTATGCTCCAGGTATGGAGGGCTGTGGACTGCGGCCTCCAGGCTGTTTTATGTTTTGGAATCACCCATTCTATTTGACAAAAGCTTTGTAAACATAACACAATGGTAAGAAAAAATCTGCATGCAATCTCAGTAATCCATGGCTGACATCAGGATATGGCACATGTAGACGTTATGTCACCTTTTAAATAAGTACAACCAGACTTAACACACATTATGCTTCTTTTTCACAAGATGACACGTTTAAAAAGACACAAAAAGATGTTAAAGCAGCTCCTTTTTCATCCGTTACCTTTCACCCCTCTTCTCTTAAGAAGCGTGGAGGGAAACTTTACTCCACTCTTCCTCAAGGTCTGCGTCCTTTCAGATTTAGGGTATATGAAAAAAGCTTTGCATCTGGAATCAGTGATTTGTATGTAGCCCCACAACTTCCTCTCTTTTTGTTCGGGCTGCCAGGTTGCTCATATGCAAGAGGTTTGCCAGCATAACACAATAACTCATCCCTGTGTAGCCCACATACCTCCTCTCCAACTTTCTTTCTTTCTTTCTTTTTTTTACAATTTGAGCTTTTTTTCTTTCTCTGAATATAATTTTCCTCTGACTCTCAACTCACGTGCTTTCACACAAACGCGCTGAAGACATCTAATCGCAAGAGAGCCCAGAGCAACGTCTCTCTGGCAGCAGTACAAAGCACACATGACTGTGAATCCAAATGTAAGGATTCCGCTCCAAGCTCCACATCAGGATGTTGGCGAGGACTTCCTTCTGTCTCAACTTTGTGCAGGGATTGTTTTACCCAGCAGTGTGGTCAGCCTTCACAATTAGCAGGAAATTAATGTTTTAGATGATTAGATGATGTGACATGATTGATTGTGTGTGACTGCCTTTTAAATGTTTGTTAAGAGCATAGGTCCTGATCAGAGGCCAGTAATGAGGTGATAAAACCCCCGTTATATGAACATAGACAGGGCCAAATTACCCTCAGTTTTTTACAAGTATCTGCCCAGTGACTTATCCCCCGATACTGGTAAAAGTGACTCACTCAAATTTCTGGGAAAAATATACATTTAAAAAGTAATTTCCTGTTGAATCAAGTAGTTTTTTTTTCTGGATGTGGTTTTTGACATGGCCGCCTACGCCAAGTCACACTACAGAAAATGAGGTGAATCAAGACCAGTGTTGAAGCATCAGGAGAAACTGAAGAAAACCGCTTTGAACAAAAAAAGTTTTAATTCAGAGTGATTACTGACAAGTACAAAATATCTCTAAAATATTTGGGGCTCGTTTTTATTCATTCCTGTCTTCCCCATCCTTCTCTTAGATGTGGATGAGTGCCAGGCCGTGCCCGGTCTGTGTTCTGGAGGCAACTGTATCAACACTGTGGGATCGTATGAATGTAAATGTCCTGCCGGTCACCGTCAGAGTGAAACCAGCCACAAATGTGAAGGTGAGTCCAGTTTTTATTCATCATCACAACCCACACTTTTACATCATCTTATAAAATAAAAAAAATTCCTGCATAATCTGGCATTGTTCTCCAATAGTACGATGACGACTGATTTGGGAAATAGAGAAAGGAGGAATAAAAGCAGCCTGTTATGAGCTTGTCTTACAACATAGTTTTCTGGGGGGATTTTTTCCCCCATTTAGCAGATAGATTAGGGAAAAACAGGAAATGTAAGGGGAGACAGGCTGTGGAAATCTGGAGCCTCACTGCTGGTGATAGAGGAGCACATGAGTGTGCACGCTTCCTATAAAAGCACATAATGTCACTTACAAAGAAGAAAACTTGTCTGTAAGGCCACACTTTTTACGTTTGCTTGTATAAAAACAACTGAACGAGGAATGTCATCGTTAATTTGGCACCTCCTTTTTCCCTTTGAGTGAATGGCTTCAATTTGATCGATTTAATTTGTCTGCTTCAGTCTACAGTTGAAAAACGTGTTGTGACAGTATCAAATTACAGTCCAGTGGTCCTCAAAAATTAAACTAAAATCCCTGAGTGTCCACCTTCTACCTTACACCTGGTTGCTTATCTTTTGTTGATGCACAAACTAATTTAAAAACAGGAAAAATAAAAATCCTTCTGATGAAAGTTAATGCCTCTAATGATTTCACTAAACTCCTGTTTAAACAAAATGTAAAAAGCTTTTGTACAAACCAGCTAAAATACCACTAAAAACTACTACTACTATTATTACGACTAATACTACGACTACAACTACTACTACTACTACTATTAATAATAATAGTAATGCTAATAATAATAATGATAATAATAGGATGCAAAGACAATAAACCAATCTTTGTTTGACAGATGACTTCAGTGACTCATAAAAATAAAAGTCTGTGGAACTGAGAATAGATCTGGTTGAGTTAATGGTGGGATGCTCGTGGACCACGCAGTTTATTATGACTCTGGTTTTTCTGGGATCTGTCTGACAAATCTCCACGGGCACTTAAAACGGGATGTGTTCATAGTTAAAGTAGGCTTGACGTGTGCACACATGCACGCACGTGCACACGGAAACGTGCACACTCTGCAGAGTGGATTCACATTACAGCGTGTTGATTAGATGGAATTCAAACAATGCCCTAACTAAACAGCCCGATAGTTGGCCAGGCAGGGGTTGTGTCTACTGGACCGAGTCCGATACGTTCACAGTCTTCTGGGGGGATTACAAAAAGCTCTTAAACTGTTTCAGCCAGATGACATTTATACTCTCGAACAAGACAGCGGCTGTGCTGTTTCAGTGTATTTTTTGCATGGACTATTTTCTAAATTGGACTTTTATTTGCTCACAGACAGCTTCAGCGAATACAGGAAAACACGGCTCTTTTTATTCGCTGGAAGCTGGCGTTTCCACACTTAGGTCATGAGAAACAGCTACCATGACAAACCAAAGGGTGATTTATGTCTTTGTGAATAGTGGCGGGAATAGGTTGGATGACTTTTCTTAATTCAGCAGAGTCCCGGTTTCAGTTGTGGTTTTGTGGGGGAATTCTACCTTCGGTGAGCTGAGATTTGAGTGTTTCCAGAGACGCTGAGCTCTGCTCGATGAGATTTGGGTGTGGATGTTGATTGACGTTTTTCCTAGAACAGTGTGGGGGAGAGAGTCCTAAGTCATTGCTATTGACACCCCAAGGATGGACTGAGGTAAGGTGACAAATCACCAGAAGATAATGTTCAGGAAGGTCTGTTACCTCTCATTTATTTTCAATCCAAAAAAGGTTTTGATTAAAAATGGTTGCAGACCACTTTGTTGGAAAGAAAAAGCTGATTGTGGAGATGCTAATAATGACTTTAAGTTGAGAGATATGTTGGTAAGAGGATCATTTGTGCACACATTCCTGCATTAAATGACAATGAGATACTTATTGTTTAAGATGCAGAAACCTACAGCAGCTGGAAGTCAGAGCTTGTTAAGCCGAATGAACGTTAACACAGTTGACGCAAAGGTTGACTTAAGACTGATTTCATTACAGAGGTCAGTATGACCCATTCTACTTGTAGTTTAATTCCTGAGGCATGACTTCCTCTAACGAACCTTTAAGGGAGCTGGCCATACACAACATGTAAAGGTCACATCATCCACGGTGGTCAAAGGGTCACACAGATGTTTGGTAGGATAGACCTTTATGTTACAGTTTATCGGAATTTTGATAAAAACTGGTAATAGAGTCTTCAATTGGAGTTTCAGCTTGTGCTGGCATCCAAATCATAACCCCAACCAACAAACTAACAAAAAAACATCTTGATTTATCATCTTATCTGACCAGAACAAAGGAAAAGAAGAAAATAAATGACTTATCTCCTTTAACAACCAAGATTAAAAAAGAAAAGAAAAATGTGATGTCTATTTTAAAAAACCCAAGTGGCCCCTCAGAAGGAAATGTATCACTTGTAGTAACATTATCGTGGACTACAGCCAAAATACATTCATACAGTGCATTTTTATTTGTGCTTCCCTCCAAGATCCATTATTCATCTGCTCGTCCGTGTTCACACCAATCACTGCTTGGCACATGCAAACTCCCAACTCCCATATGACTGGATTAACTGTACAGGAAGGCATCCATCCATTGCATATAAGAACTATTAATGTTGAGGGTTGTGGGGGGGTGGGAGGGGGCTTATCTCACGAAGTGGGGAGCACACACAGAGAACGTGCAATAGCAGGAAAGTTAACATAAAACTAGCTCACTTGTGGATTTGGAGCTCAACTCTGGATTTGGATTTGGATTAAGACAAGTACGCAAACCTTTTCAGGTCAAGCATAGCCTGCAAACCTTCGGCTGCCAGGTCCTGGAATAAATTTCCATCCAGCAGCTGTGTGGAGGAATTCCGCGACAATCGAGTGAACTATGATCTTTCTGCTGTGTCACATGCCTCCAAGTGCTCCAGTGATTAGCAAAGGCCTCGAAGATAACTAAATATCAACCTGGGCCTCTTTCTCACATGACACAAATCCTGTTGAGGAATTGTGGGTCGGTTCCAAATGTCAGATTTACAGGTTTACCGTGAGGCCAGACAGTGCACCTCTCAGTTCAGTCATTTGAGTCAGTCGGTTGATGTGCTTGTGATGGCTGAAATAAAATAAATAATATGATTCTCTGGATGGGGAGTTCATGGATGTTATTGCAAAGGAGGGCATCTTTATTGGTTACAATATCTCTTACGGCCCAAACATAATCATTACTGATATCATTTAGGCTACTTATTTGTTGCTATTGCTTTACAAATTGAGATGTTTAGTTGCCTTGCAATTTATCTGCATCATATAAAATTCCACATTAAGTTGTTAATGTTTAATAAACTTTTGTATTAATAAATATCATTGTACTCAATCAACAATACAATGAGAGTTAGCATCTGCCTAAAAATCAGTTAAAGACTCAATCAATTCTTCCATAGTTCAACCTACAACTTGAATTATAAAGTTTAAGGTTAATTCTTTCGAGTTTTATTCCTGATTGGAAGTGACCTGAACGTATGGCAGTTTCGCGTGCGCTCTGGGCCGTTCGGGGAGAGGGCAGAAAGAGTTCATTGTGTTTGAAAGGCTGCGAAAACAAAAGTACAGTTCTGATGTGTTTTTTCAGGTCACAGATATGCAGGAAACCCGTGTGCGGTGAAATCTCACAAACAAGATCAGATCAGCTCGCTGGGGAAAAGCTTTTTTTCTGCTGGAGCTAATGCACAAACAACCTCTCTGAGAGTTTGCTCGGGGAAATTAGTGAGGTTTTAGGGCCGTTTAAGTAAAGTGTGGTTAAGATGTCATGGGTGTCGGATTGTTTTTGGCACAACGGGGAACCTGATTTCACGGTCGCCCTTTAGTCCAGACTGAGCTTAACAGTCATTCCTTTTTTTTTTTTTTTTCCTTTTTACCCTCCCCCTCTTTCTACTTTTCTGCCTCTCCTTCCATTTTTCTTCTATAAATACAGTGCTTTGGCTCAAAACCAGCTGTTAGTGCTGAACAAAGACACACTCACTGCATCTGGGAGACTTTTCTCATTACATACACGGACCTCCCTGTTGCTCCGAAACACTCGCAGCCTCTCACGAACACTCACGCTGCAAACGCACACTCACTGACATTTTCATTAGGCCCGATGACAAAGTAGAAACAGCTTTTTTCACGCGCTGATGTCATGCGCGCGCACGCTTCCACTCTGATGACATTTATCCAGGTGACACACATTTCCTTCTGTACACACGTCTGTGTGGAGTAATGTCTGCTGCCTCTGCTGACTCGGGGTTTATTTGGCCGGGGTTTTTACGGCCCCCTCGGCCCAGCCCTCTGCCACCGCCGTCAGACAGGAATCAGCCGGAGAGGAGCGGCCCCCTCGGCCCGCGTTCTCTCCCCCCTTTTACCCCTCAGAGAGAGGCGCAAACACTTCCACAGGCCTCGCTTTTCCAGCACGCCCGTGCTTCTGCTAGCCTCGTCTCCACGGCTGTAATTGTGCCCAGCAGTGCCTCAGTAATTACAAATGAATAAGCGTGACACATTGTAAAAACCCAATACTTTGCCCCCCCCCCAACCCCCTATAATAGAGCACTGGGGCCCCCCTCTAAGAAAAATAGAACTTGATGCCGTCATAAAGTGTACCACAATGAGGTGAGCCCTGCCAAGAGCTATGCCTACATACTCTGAGAAATCTGAAACGTTCCATACTCTGAATGTGAAGTCAACCTGTTACCTGTGATTCACCACATTAGATTTAAATGGCTCTTATTACACAATGTACATGATTTGAACATGACTGTTGTACAATACCTGCATGTATGAGCACGTTAGATTATTTCACAACCCCTTAAACTTACATAATATGATTTGATACTCTGGAGGTGATGATTCAAAGAGGGATTTTGTATAAAATCAAGGATATTCTGGACAACCCCGATCAGCCTCTTCATGAGACTGTCATTGGAAAACAGAGTCTCATCAGCCAGAGGCTTCTTCACATTAGTTTTTAAAACGGACCGCGACAGAAAATCTTTCCTGCCCACAGCTATTAAAATTGATATCAGCTCCTTAACTAAATGAGCCACGCTAACCTTCAATTTCCCTCTGGGATAAATCAAGCATTTTTTAATTGAATTTAATCGGATTTAATTTCCGTCCATAAGGCAACCGTACAATAATATGCAGCCTCTCACTTCTCCAGATTCTCCATTTGTTTGTCTCTGACCTTCACAGCTTCTGAATTTGTTCCTGTTATTTACGTGTTTTCCTGATGACACTCTGAATAAACTAAAAAATGAGCTAGTCCGGCTCCGGACGGGCTGCTGAACGGTTTGCTTACAGACAGTGGAGTAAACACTTCCAGTTTGGATGTCTGAGTAGCTTTTCTGAGAGGTGGGGTGGGGGGAGAACGAGGCGCTGACCGGGCGGTTCTGCGTTTCAGATATCGACGAGTGCAGCACCATCCCCGGCCTGTGTGATGGAGGGGAGTGCACCAACACGGCCGGGAGCTACGTCTGCACCTGCCCACGCGGCTACATCTCCAGCACCGACGGCTCCAGATGTGTGGGTGAGTCAAACCGGCAGATGTGCTCACCTCTGATTCCCAGGCAGCACATACCTCCCTGACCAGTCCACCGAAAGGCCAGCAGGTGTTAATGTATCCCTGCAGTCCTCCCCCATCACGGCCAAACGCAGCGAGGTGTTAGATTTTTAAAGATCTCACGCGATTTAGACCTATTAGCCTCAGCAGAATTGACAGTTTACCCCCCCCCCAACCCCACACCTTTTGCTCCAACTTGCATTATGAATGCCATATTGCTCTGCTTGTCCTAATTTTCCCGTTCCAAGACAGCCATGGAAAAAATCGGCCCTGTACGGGTTTTGTTTGGGGAAAAGTGTCAGAGGATCTGGGTTGAGTTTACCAAAAGAGCCATGCATATGCCTCATGTGGCATAAAGCCCATAAACAGATTTTGGGGTAAAATGTCACACGATAGAAAAACTTTGTGTTTGTTAAACAACAAAGCTTTTTTATGTTATAAGTTATAATGGTGCATGATATAATAACAGCCATGATGTTTATCTAAGATAAAGCGTTTCCTGTTAATTTTCCACCTCAAACAAGCTGTAACGTCTGAAAAAGCTTCGCTTTTGCTTTTTTTACCTTCAAAGGACTATTCTGTCACCCCGGATTGAGATAGTGACAGAACAACATGCAAAGCCATCAAAACAGTGAAAAGGGTGGCAATTAAATGTTTGTTTTTTAAATCAGTATACAGTACATTATCATGTTGCTATAAATACCCCTGTTTTGTTTTATCTATTCATTTATTCTTGTCAAGTTAGAAATGAGGAAAGGATTTTCGACAGAGGCTACAAAGCACACAGTTTTCACATTTTTCCCTAATTAGAAGCCAGTTGTTTAGCCCAAACCAAATAAAAAGGACACATTTTTATACAAAGACTGTGTTTATAGGGTTCCTCTTTCCCTTTAGTTTCAGCTGTTGACGAGATGTTGTCGTAATGGCAGAAAAATATAAAAACAAAGGGGGAAAAATTTCAACAATTCAAAACTTAAAACTACTCAGATAGAGGAGGAAAGGACATCCTGTACAACCCGTTTAGAGTATTGGAGGGTGGGAGTTTAGGACCAATACATGCAATACATTAGCTGGCAGCCTTGCATGCTTTGTGCTGTGTAAATGTGTATATATATATATATAAAGTAATCATCTGTCCATATTTTTACTTCTTTCTTCTTGTTTTCCTTTTCTGAGGTGATATATGTCTCTGTCACTTTATGTTTCCATTTCGCACCCAATCATTCTCCCTTGTAAAGCAGGGATTATTCCCTCAGAAAACATTTCCATGATTTACAGTAGAGTTCCACTGTTTACAGAGGATAAGAGCACAGTCCAACTCTGTTTTCAGCTTTTATCTCCCATAATGAAGTGTTTGTGCACTCTCCTGTCTTCTTGGTTTGTTTTTTCTTCTTTTCTCTATTTCTTCTTATCTCCTGGTCTCTGTATTTCTAGACATCTTGTGGCTCTATTCATGTGTTTCCAACTAAAATAAGACAGAAAAACTGGGAGAAAGCTGTTAAAACATGCACCAGACATAAACACAAACATGTAAACTCACAGTTTTTCTGCAACCAGACTGTGAGGAGACAAATACAGGGATGAGTCCTCCATGCAATTACAGACTAGACCAGGACGTGAGCTCCCTGCCTTTTGATTAACCTAACTTAAACCACCAATCCAAAGTCACAATAACACTAAAACCTAGAAATGAAATGAGAGACTAAATGAACTACTTTGCTTGTTAATGCATTCTGGTTAAATTGTTTGATTTTCTTGAGAGCAGGGCTGAAAGTGAAGTGAAAAAAGGCCTGATTAGAGCTTTGCCTGGGATCAGGTTTTAGGAACAGGAAGTTTGTTCTGGTCTGGAGGCTTTATTGCGTGGCCTGTGTTTTGTGGGATGTGCTGCTGCTCAGTGTTGAAGTAGGCCAGAGGGAGCTGTTGGGGGATGGTTGACAGTAATCAGACCCTAATGCACTGTTTCATGATGGACGCATGAAAAAAAAACAACCAAAAAAACCCCTCAGTTGGTCAGAATATAAAAACACCTTTGCAAATGAAAGCATATGCTCCTGTAGTGGAGCTGCAACACAAGCCAGAAACCTGCGGTCTGGATCCAATTTACGTCATCATCATCTTCATCAGAAGCCCACCGCCCCGCCCAGCGATGGTGGATATGTACGGGAATGCATGACTGAATGTCGGTTTGCATGTAAATGTGTGTGCGCTGCTCTGTGTGTGCTCCCACATACAGCCCAGGCCCTCATGTTCAATCTAATTGGCAGGAATTGTTCCACATGGTAATGATTAATTCCAGACTGCTGGCTCATTAGTGAGTTAATCGACTTGAGCTCCTCCCTCCACCCCCCTTCACTCCTCCTTTCTTTTAGTAGAAGTACTTGAAATAATGTCCACACGTTTTAGTTTTCTGGGTACATTTTTTACCCGTTCAGATATTCCAGGTCTCCTTCTTCTGTCCCACCGACCCCACTGAGCACTATAACAAATAAGATCCCTTTTAGGGGCCCTTCAGATGCCTGTTTGGAACCTAAAACATCCAATAAATAGGTTTCTAGTAACGGGTTTAAGTGGCAGAAATGCAACATCTGCTCATTAATCTATACGTATATATATATGTGTGTGTGTAGTTTAATGAGCAGATTAATGAGCAGATCAATTGGATGTTTGATTAATGAGAGTACATCTAAACAGAACAACACAAAACCACAAAACCAGAGGAAGCTGTACCTCTTTCTTTCCCATAAGTCATGTCTATATGTTTAAACTTGCCATGTTTTGGATTTAAACTCCTGTTGCACCTCTTTCAGTCATGTAATTGTGCTGGTATCTCTTATCTGCCCTCAGATCAGCGTCTGGGCACATGTTTCTCCGCTCTGGCTAATGGCCGCTGTGCTGGGGAGCTGAACGGCCAGTACACCAAGATGCAGTGCTGCTGTGACACAGGACGCTGTTGGGCTTTAGGACAGATTCCTGAGATGTGCCCAGTTCGGGGTTCAGGTAATGATAAATTGTCCGAAGTAGTTGTAGACGGCCAAACAAAAGCACAGCCTTTTAGCTTCAGATCAAGACAGATGGCCACTGCCTTCCGCTGTGGAAAATTTTTGGTTTTGAAACAAGTTAAAAGGAAAGTTAAAACTGACATTAGAAGACCAACACTGAAGCAAGAGGATCAACTCAAGCTGGTGATTTCATGAATCCAAACAAAGAGGAGATTCAGTTACCCATCATCTCTACTCACAAGATGAAATTTCAAAATATTGCTTTGCAGGAGTCTTTGTGATCCAGTGCTGATCAGTTACAGATTTGCCTCTTTCATCAGTGAACTGAATTGTGTGTTTGAGTTTTTGTGGCAGTCAATCGAAGCAAAACCACACATACAACCATGTGTGTGCTTCTATGTGTGTATGTGGTCTATTTAGACTGGCTTTGTGAATACAGACTTACATATGTACCCATATATACTGTATATATATATACATCTATCTCTATGTATGAATATACAAAGATAGATAGATAGATAGATAGATAGATAGATAGATAGATAGATAGATAGATAGACAGATAGATAGATAGATAGATAGATAGATAAACACAAAACATGACACACACTTAATGTTCTGTCATCTCTGTCTTTTCAAGATGAGTACAGGCGTCTTTGCATTGTGGGTGTTCCCCAAGTTCACGGCCTCCCCCACAGCTACCCCAATGTCTACATCCCAACTGATAATGGCAACTTTGGGTTCAAGTTGCCTGTGATACCAAATGGAAATGGGGGAAACGGGGGGAATGGAGGGAACGGTGGCAATGGAGGAGGAAGCTTCGGAGGCAATGGAGGAGGAGGAGGGAACTACCGAAACATCGGTGAGTCCCCGGGGTGGATCTGAAGGACAACAGGTGGAAATCCTCAAGTCATTTAATGTCCGTGTGTTGTTTTCCCTAAGGTATCGGCTCCTTAAACGAAACTAATGACATGTGCAGAAGTTTCACCAACCTGTGCTTGAACGGACGCTGTATCCCCACACCTCCCAGCTACCGCTGCGAGTGCAACATGGGCTACAAACAGGACGATCGGGGGGAGTGCATTGGTAAGACATATGCTCTCATGGTGTATCTCGTATAAGTGCACACATATTTATTTGTTCAGTCAGTCCGAAACGCAGGCAGGCGAGTGACAATGTGACAGGGCTGCCCTTTATTGCGTACACTACACTGCCATCTTCTGCCAAACTAGGGAACTCAGCGCCAGAGTTCTGGTCTGAGGAAGTGGGACTAATTTTTGATCCAAATTATCATTTACAGTGTCTTCAGTGTCGCTACGCCGGGTTTCATGCTCCTTTTATTCTTTGTGCAGATGTGGATGAGTGTATAAGTGACCCATGCATTAATGGAGACTGCATAAACACACCTGGATCGTACCACTGCAAATGCCACGAGGGATACCAGGGAACCCCGACGAAACAGGCCTGCATTGGTGTGTTTTATCTCTCTCTCAACTTAGATTATGATTTTTTTTAAAAAGTGCTAAATTTAAAGTGCTAAATCAATCCAAAACCGATTGCTCCTCTTCCCTTCTTTTAGATATCGATGAATGCATTGTGAACGGTCTGATGTGTAACAACGGCCGCTGTGTCAACACGGACGGAAGCTTTCAGTGTATCTGCAACGCCGGCTTTGAGCTCACATCTGATGGAAAGAACTGCATTGGTGATAAAAACAGAAAAAACAAAAACAGAACGACATTTATTCCAGCCTTCCATAACTTGACACTACTTGCTTTTGCCGTCAGATCACGACGAGTGCGCCACCACCAACATGTGCCTCAATGGCATGTGCATCAACGAAGAGGGCAGCTTCAAGTGCATCTGCAAGTCTGGCTTCGCCCTCGCGCCGAACGGCCGTTACTGCACCGGTATGTGGGATTTATGATGTCCAAACAGTCTTCAACACCTGGGGAGTGGGAGTCGTTCAGACTGCCTCAGAACAGCGTTTGCAGATTTAGTGTTGAAATGCCTTTTTCTTTTCAAACCATGTGTGCTTAGCCGTGTGTGTGTGTGTGTGTGTGAAACTCCTAAGCACATTCCCGAAGGAGGCAGATAGTTGAATATCATCCCTGCTTTTCTTGACAATTTATCATTTTAAACCTCCTTTTTTAATGTTTCTTTTGCTTCATATATCTTTTCGCTTATCAGACGGAATGGTGGAATTTCAGCTCTGCTGTGCTCATATCTGTAATGTCTTTCATGCAAACCTGGGCTGAGCCCGGTCGATGACGTGGCCTGTTCCCAACAGATATCGACGAGTGTCAGACTCCCGGCATCTGCATGAACGGCCGCTGCATCAACTCTGAGGGCTCCTTCCGCTGCGAGTGCCCGCCGGGCCTGGCCGTGGACGTGGACGGGAGAGTGTGCGTGGACACGCACATGAGGAGCACCTGCTACGGCGCCCTGAAGATGGGCACCTGCTCGCGCCCCTTCCCCGGCGCGGTCACCAAGTCGGAGTGCTGCTGTGCCAACCCAGAGCACGCCTTCGGACAGCCCTGCCAGCCCTGCCCCTCCAGGAACTCAGGTAGGCTCTTCCTTCACAGCTAAGTAATCACCAAAGGAAAGAAGAAGAACCCAAATCAAGAAATAATTTGTTGGTCTTCCGTCTTCCAGCGGAGTTTCAGGGTGTGTGCAGCAGCGGAATTGGCATCACGGCCGATGGCAGAGGTGAGGAGATTTGACCCGAATGTGAATGTTCTTACACGGTCATCTCAAAGAGCAAAACTCATCAATTTCTTCCTCCTCCTCGTCCCCTGACTAACACGTGGTTCCTCCTAGACATCAACGAGTGCGCTCTGGACCCAGAAATCTGCCAGAATGGTATCTGTGAGAATCTCAGAGGAAGCTACCGCTGTATCTGTAACATTGGCTACGAGTCTGATACCAGTGGCAAGAACTGTGTTGGTGAGTCAGTGTTTGTTTGAAGGCTTCCATACGGATGTTGACTTTCATATAGTAAATTATTCACTAACACATTTTTTATAATGTCCACTTAAAAGTCATAAATGGTCATCTTCTATTAATACAAATGTAATACCAGTGATTACATTTTCCATAGGAAGGATGGATTGTCTGTAAAAATGATATTCAGAAGATTGAAAATCCCTTAAATCCTTTATGAAATTGAAAAAATTGTTACAGTAGACTTGATGTCAAAACTAAACTTTTGCACTAAGGTAAAAAAATCAATGTTAGAATTCCATTGATAAAAGTATTTTCAACCCTGTGTTTTAACACATAGATTTCTACCACAGGACAATGCATGATTTCATTACATTTAAAACACGTATCAGCCAAATCATCCTAATTCTTATATATGCCTGAAAAAATAACAAACTATTTTCAGTTTTAGCTTGTATTGTTGATGCTGTTTCCACTTTGGTGTAGACATGAACATTTAGACAGTTTGTGATTTTGGAAATGGGGTTGTCTGTTCATCATCAGGTGTTTTTTTTGTCCCCTCCACAGACATCAATGAGTGTCTGGTAAACCGGCTGCTCTGCGACAACGGCCTGTGCAGAAACACTCCTGGCTCCTACACCTGCTCTTGTCCTGAAGGATTTCTTTTCAAACCCGACTCGGAGACATGTGAAGGTGAGGGCGTCTGTTTGATATTTTGAACCAGTGATGCAGATTTAAGCTGAAACGCCAGATGAGTTGCATTTAGTTTCAAATCTACACGAGGCTCGTTGAGAGAGCGACTGCAAAGAGGATGATGACTAAGGTGTGTGTTTGTTTCAGACATTAACGAGTGTGAGTCCAGCCCCTGCATTAATGGAGCCTGTCGCAACGTGGCGGGGTCCTTCAACTGCGAGTGTGCACATGGCAGCAAGCTGGATTCCACAAACACCATTTGCGTTGGTAAGCCATCAAGTACCTGTCAAAGCACAGCTGCACCCACAACACAGCTTTTGTGAGACAGCACCGTTACATCGAAAACCCCCAACCACCTAATTTTGAAAGAAAACAATGTAGTTTAGGTGTGCAGGCAGCATCCAGAGACAGTGATCACAGATAGTTGATTTATTAAATAAATACTTGCATGCATGGCCTTGGTTAACATGAAGATTTTTTTTTTTTTTTTTTTACTTCAAAGAGTTTGGCCTCAGATTCAAAATGACATGTGGAATGTAAGACTCTCTGCTGAAGTTGAATTCCATTTGTTTGAGTGTTTGCTTCTTCTGGGAAATCACTCTGAGAGGGCTGCATGCTAACACAGAATACAGATGTTAGTGTAACTAGAATGGAAAATGAGTCATTAAAAAAATATTGCATGAGCTGTTTCTGTCAGAGGTTTACAGGATCCTCTTTTGTTCCTTTCCTTGCAATGTTTTGAGGCCCATCACTCAGTGGAGGAAAGCAAATTGCAGTTTGTTTGCATTTGGGTGGCCTCGTGGTTCTTGGGAAAAGGTGTCGCTAGAATGATAGAGCGCTCCTTCATTTCAACAGGAATGCAACAGTATAGGATTACATATTTCATATGCTCTACTAACCTAAACCTGTGGAAACATCCAAAGTCATTTATAAGAATGTCACATGGCATGGTCATGGTTTTTGTGGCTTAAAATGTAATCATGGTTAAAATACAAACCATATTTTGCCCTTTTTTTTCAAATGGCTGAAACATGGTTCGGTCAAAGCACAAAACTTTTTTTTACAGAAATTCTTTTAAGGGTGTAAAGTGAGTAACTGCTTTGTCCCACATAGTTCAGCTAAAATGCACATATAAACAAAAAAAAGTTTATTGTTTAGTAATGTTTATGACTGAACATAGACTAACATAGGACCTGGGACATATTTTTAGCCTGAGTTTGTCTTGTGTTTTTGAGGACGCTGAGTGTAAGCAGACCCGCTTGTTGAAAACAACGGAGGGTATCTTTAATCAAGCCATCTCTGTTGTTTTCTTGGCTTTCCAGATAGCATGAAGAGCACTTGCTGGCTCACCATACAGGACAACCGCTGTGAAGTCAACATCAACGGAGCCACTCTGAAGTCTGAATGTTGCTCCACGCTGGGAGCGGCCTGGGGCAGCCCCTGTGAACCCTGCGAGCCCGGTCAGTTCGAGCCAGACACTAACTTTTAATAACTGGCTGATATGAAAAGTGCAACATTAGAGCAGCGGTAACTCCTTATAGTTGTTTTTGTTCGCAGGGATTGTAGACCATTTTTAACAGAGATGATACTACACTAAGAGTTTTGTGCTTGTGTTTTCAATGTCACTGGTGTTCTGAATTCAGTACGGGGCTGAAAAAATACCCTCATACCCCACTAAGATAATTGATTCAGCGTCGCTAGAAAAAGCCAAAATATTTGCCTAGCTCTCCAAGATCGCCCACTGTTCTTTTAGGGATTAAGAATGACCACAGCTGGTAGCTTCTCCATGCCAACCTGGAGGTTTTTTTAACAGCACAGAAAAAAAGCACAGAAAATCTGAGCATTCAAAGCTCTGAAACAGATTTTTTTTTAACCTCTACTGATGTGAGAGGTAGAGAACATAAACAAAGAGCATTCTTCGGTGGGAATGTTTTCTACTGACCAGCATCGTGTTCTGAGGTAGTGTCGGTCAATGGAGATAGTAAATAAGTGTTTTCCAGTTGGCACTGAACTGTAAATAAATTCTATCTCTCCTCTCATAGCATCCATAGTCACATGTAACCAGTCTATTCTATTATCAAAGAGACTCCCTTAGCCTTTGCGTCCCTATTTTGCTCATCCACTCATTTCTTTAACATTGGGGTTCACTCAGCCGACTTCTTCAGGCATCACAGTGTAAAAAAAAATCTGTCAACTCATAGAAAAATGTCCACACCTGACGGATGTAAACTTCTGACTTGGAAATAAACACAGAATTTCAATAAAGTAAAGTAACCATATGGTAAACGTTTAGGCTGGAGTAAACATCGGCTAAAGCCAAACAATGTGCACGTTGTATATAATACACATACAGAAAATGTATCACATCTGGTTATTTTGTCCCCCCCCCCCACACCCCAGATACTGCCTGTTCTCGAGGATTTGCCCGCATGAAAGGCCTGGTCTGTGAAGGTATGACATTTTCATAACCTGATGAAGGCTGACAGATGAGCGAGGCCTGATCCTCATTATGGCTTTTTTTAAAAAAAATCTTCTTACATATTCCCCTCGGAATAAAGTGCATGTTTTTGCGTGGTTGACCTTGTAACAGCAGTTCTTAAAATGTCCCCCTTTTTCTTTTTTCTTCAGACATCAATGAGTGTGAGGTATTCCCTGGCGTGTGTCCAAACGGCCGGTGTGTGAACACGCAGGGCTCTTTCCGCTGCGAGTGTGCGGAGGGTCTGACTCTGGACAGCACAGGCCGCACATGTGTTGGTAAGCAGACCGTCCCCCTGCCCAAAAAAACCCCCAAAAACGAAGCTTTTTTCTGTCGCTGAGTTGTGTCGATCGCTATTTCCAGACATGCGCAGCGAGCAGTGCTACAAGAAATGGCACGAGGACGAGTGTGGAGAGCCCCTGCCTGGACGCTACCGGGTGGACATGTGCTGCTGCACCGTGGGGGCCGCCTGGGGGGTCGATTGTGAGGAGTGTCCCAAAGAGGGCACGCCCGAGTTCAAAACCATCTGCCCCAGAGGACGGGGTTTTGCCAACAGAGGAGACATTCTGACTGGCAGGTCCTTCTATAAAGGTACTTTGATTCCACCCCGAATGAATGAATATGGATTTCTTCTTATGCGCCAGTCAATTCTCTCCAGGTACTCTGGCTTTCTTCCACCTTCTGAAAAGGCTTGTTTGATCAATTGTTGATTCATTTGACTTGAAATCTGTGTGTGTGTGTGTTCATTGATTGTTGTGTTTATCCAATGATGCACTGAAGATCTTTCCTGGATGCGACCTGTCTGTGACCCTGAATTGTTGCAGAACTGAATAGATGGGTGGATGAATGCCTTTAGTTTATGTAATCTTTTCTGATCTATTCACAAAAAAAAGCTGCAGTGTTCTTGCAAAAGGGAATCAGGGTGCGTTAATTTGACTGTAACAGTCCTCTAAATGTGTTTCCTTTCAGACGTGAACGAGTGTAAGGTGTTCCAGGGTCTGTGCACCTACGGGAATTGCAGAAACACCATCGGCAGCTTCAAGTGTCGCTGCAACAGCGGCTTTGCGCTCACTGCGGAAGAGAGGAACTGCACAGGTTCGAAACGGGGCACGGGGAGACAGTTTAGCACTTGGCGAAATGAGCTCGCTTTAATTCCCCCTGTGGTGTCCGTCAGATATCGACGAGTGCCGCATCTCCCCTGACCTGTGCGGCCAGGGCACGTGTGTCAACACGCCGGGCAGCTTTGAGTGTGAGTGCTTCGAGGGTTATGAGAGCGGATTCATGATGATGAAGAACTGTATGGGTAAGTCTCACTTTGTGCGGTAATGCCCTAATCTTTGCTCAATGTGCCATTCCTGTCGTTTATCTCACCTCATCGTGCTCTTTATCTCCCTCCCGTTTGGGCTGACAGACATAGATGAGTGCGAAAGGAACCCCATGCTGTGTCACGGAGGCAGCTGCCTCAACACGGAAGGGAGTTTCGAGTGTGAATGTCCCACTGGATACGTCCTCAGCAACGACGCGTCCGTCTGCGAAGGTGAAGTATGCAGCCAAAGGCCGGTGTGTTTTTAAAAGCTTCTTCCCTTCCTCGGGTAAAAAAAGATACATTTGGTTGTCTTTTTTAAAGTGATGTCTATGTTTTTCCTTTAAAAAACACATGGATTTAAATGTGTTCTATCAAACTGCTGACCCCTAAACGGTCACTACTAAAAAGTTGTGTTGTAGAGCCCGGTTAATATTTAATGATGTGCACCTGCCTTTTGGTTTTTAGATATGAACGAGTGCCAGCTGAGTGACAACTTGTGCAAAAATGGGCAGTGCGTCAACATGCCGGGGACCTACCAGTGCTCCTGCGACACCGGGTACCAGGCGACACCCGATCGACAGGGCTGCGTGGGTGAGTGGGGCAAAGTGCGGCTCTGAAATATGCCATGAAGTTGAATAATCATATTTCCAGACAAGCAAAACTGAAAAAATTAAATAAAATAAAAAAATTGACACTGAGATCTTCAGTAAATGTGAAATCCATAATGATGGCTACCCCTTGCAGATATTGATGAGTGCACCATTATGAACGGAGGCTGTGAAACTCACTGCACCAACTCAGAGGGCAGCTATGAGTGCAGCTGTAGTGAAGGCTATGCTCTGATGCCCGACCTCCGGACCTGCTCAGGTAAGACAATGCTATAAACCTTTTGTTAAGCTCACGGTTTCTTGTAATTGTAGCAAATATAAAAAAAAGCTCTCTATTACATCCAATAGACATCGATGAGTGTGAGGAGACTCCGGACATCTGCGATGGGGGCCAGTGCACCAATATTCCAGGGGAATATCGCTGTCTGTGTTATGATGGTTTCATGGCTTCCATGGACATGAGGACCTGTATTGGTAGGATGGCGAATATCGATTTTATTTTCCTAACTAATGCCGTCACATTTAAACCCATTCCTTTTTTTCTAGCTGTCAGATCTTGTGTAACGGTTGAAATATTATTTTTTGTCTCTGATCCCCCATCAGAGGGACTCTCTCTGTCAGGCTGGTTTAGTGTCAGCCTGAGCTCCTCTGTGAAATAACTTTCCTGTGTAACCCGTGCCTGTCCATCCCTGTCTGCCCAGATGTGAACGAATGTGACCTGAACCCAAACATCTGTCTCCACGGTGAATGCGAGAACACCAAAGGCTCCTTCATCTGCCACTGTCAGCTGGGATACTTTGTCAGGAAAGGATCCACAGGCTGCACAGGTACAGACATCCACCAGCGCCCAGCAATTAACATCGGGGGCAAAGCTGTCGCCGAGAGGCCTGACACTGGCTGATGAGTCAGTTCATCCATGCATACAGTAGTTCCAGGCCTATATTTTAGAAATGAATTATTCAATCGTTGGCAGGCAGACCCGAGGAAGAAACAAGCTCGCTAACAGGATTAAAACTGCTGTGGTTTGTAAAAAGCAAAGCTGGAGCAGTAGTTCGAAGGGGCATTCTGCTCATGCAAACTATCTCTAAGATTAGCAGCCCCACTTTTATTTGGTTTTTGGGAGCTTCATATGAAAGTTTCAGCTCTTGACACAAATATTATCCCTTTAAACTTAATAAAAGCAATTAGGCATTGATTATTTATTAAAGAAAGGAAGTTGATCAGCATTAAACAAAAGGAGTGTGTGTACATTTAATCTTAATTAATTATTAAATGTTTCATGATCGTCATGGCATTTAGGTTTTTTTTAAATCTCTTTTTCTATTTCTTTACGTGTAAACCCAAAGGTGTGCAAAATTTCCTTTAAAAAAAAAAAAGAAGATGAATATATTTGTGTTGAAACAGCATTTCATGCGGCCTTATCTGTCCAACTGTGTCTTCAGATGTGGATGAGTGTGAGATCGGAGCCCATAATTGTGACATGCACGCCGCCTGCGTCAACGTTCCCGGAAGCTTCAAATGTCGTTGTCAGGACGGCTGGCTGGGAAATGGCATCAAATGTGTGGGTGAGTGTGTACCGATTGACTTTTGTGATTTGTGGATCGGATAGTTCTGTTTAGTTTAAAAAAAAAAGGACAAACTATGTAGACTTGTCTATTGCTCTCGATAAAGAATGATGTAATTTATTTTTTTAATCTCCCGCAGACCAAGATGAATGCTCTGCAGAGGAGCATAACTGCAACCCCAACGCAGACTGTGTCAACACACCAGGGTCCTACAGGTGTACATGCAAAGAGGGCTTCAATGGAGATGGCTTCTCATGCTCTGGTAAGAACGGCAATAAAAAAAGATGAAAAGTACTTTTGTACATGGTTGTGAAAGGAGCCATGCACCAAAGAGTATCAGAGGATCCAGAATGATGTTGGGCTAACAAAATTCTTCTTTCAAATGAGGCCATAATAAATGGTACAAGTCTGAGTGTGCACAGTGGTAAAGCATAGTAGTGGGAGTTTGGTGATATGGGGGCTGCATTAATGCTAAATATATAAAAAGAGATTAAATTATCGATTACAATGTGACCCCCCAGTTCGAAGTTTTCTTTACTTCTTCCTTTCATTAAAAAGCATACTTCCTTCTGTTGGCTAAAAGTAATGATTTTACTGTAGTTTTACGCAGTTTATCGATACATCCTGGTGTTCCCTTTCAGACATGGACGAGTGTGCAGATAACGTCAACCTGTGTGAGAACGGTCAGTGTCTGAATGCTCCTGGTGGCTACCGCTGCGAGTGCGAGATGGGCTTCACTCCAACCGAAGACAGCAAGGCCTGTCAAGGTGCTGCTCTCCTTCTCGTGTGATCTCCCTTTGGATGTTTTTTTTATTTAATCCGCCAGTCGGGTCGAGTAACTTGCCTCTTTTCCTTCGCCGCAGACATTGACGAGTGTAATTTCCAGAACATCTGCGTGTTCGGAACGTGCCAAAATCTTCCAGGGATGTTCCGCTGTGTGTGCGATAAGGGTTATGAACTAGACCGCAGTGGAGGGAACTGCACAGGTATGCTTAGCATCAGCATTAGCGCAAGACACACACTTTGGATTCCTGGTAACAAATCAGAGCATCGGGTTGTTTCGTCAAACCCGAATTACAGTGTTACCAGATTTCCTAAACAAAGAAAAACACTTGTTGTTCTTGTTATAGAAGCACGTTTTCATGCCTTTCTGTGTCGGTGTGTGCTGTAGATATCAACGAGTGTGCTTACCCCGTGAACTGCATCAACGGATTCTGCGTGAACACACCAGGAAGCTACATGTGTAACTGTCCAGCTGACTTTGAGCTCAACCCCACTGGGGTGGGATGCGTGGGTGAGTCCCGCTCTCATTAACAAACGCACTAAATGTTCTCTGGGACCATCTCTAAATGATCCGTTCAGACTATATTTTAGTAAATATTTCCCTTACTGCATGACTGAGAGGCCTGTATCTCTCTCAGACACTCGTATTGGCAACTGCTACTTGGGCGTCTTCGACCGTGGGGATGGAGGAATCTCCTGTAATGCCGAGGTCGGCGTGGGAGTGACCCGTGCTTCCTGCTGCTGCTCCAAAGCAACAGCCTGGGGAACCCCTTGTGAACTTTGCCCTTCCTCCAACTCCTGTATGTACAACAAGACCTTACTTTAAGGGGTCACTTCAAACTGTAAATCGGTTGTAGTTAAAGTTAGATTTTACGTAAAGACAAACTGAATGACTGTTTATCTCTTTCTTGAAGCGGAATACAAGACTCTTTGTCCCGGAGGAGAGGGCTTCCGACCCAACCCCGTCACTGTGATCCTAGAAGGTCCTTTGTCCAACTTTTTCCATCTCTCACTTTTACACACACGTTAAACAAAGAAAAATAAATTAAACGATCCTTTACATGAATTTTTGTAGATATTGACGAGTGCCAGGAGCTGCCGGGGCTCTGCCAGGGTGGAAACTGCATCAACACGTTCGGTAGTTTCCAGTGCGAGTGTCCACCGGGCTATTACCTCAACGAAGAGACTCGCATCTGTGAAGGTATCCGGCTGCCCTTTTATTACACGTTAGGAGAAAATAACGAGCTGCTCCTATGTTTACTGTGATATTTGTGTTTGCAGATATTGATGAGTGTACAACTCATATCGGGATCTGTGGGCCTGGCACATGCTACAACACCTTGGGGAACTACACTTGTGTGTGTCCCCCCGAATACATGCAGGTCAACGGGGGAAACAACTGCATGGGTGAGTAGGAGAGACTCGGCATAACCGACTTGCACAAAATTTTAGGTATGCTCTTCTGGTGGATTCACGCCATCTTTTCCCTCCTCGTGCCGCAGACATGAGGAAGAGCGTGTGCTACCGCAACTTCAACGACACGTGTGAGAACGAGCTGTCGTTCAACATGACCAAAAAGATGTGCTGCTGCGCCTACAACGTGGGCAAAGCCTGGAACAAGCCGTGTGAGGCCTGCCCCACTCCGGCGACCAGTGAGTTTCAGCCCAAATCCCAACATTTTACTCGTAAAACAACGTATTGCGGATTTCAGTGACCACCCTCTGGATTCTTTCAGCCGAGTACCAGCTGCTGTGTGGTAACCAGGCTCCTGGCTTTATCATTGACATCCACACCGGCAAGCCAATCGGTAAGGGCGCCGGCAAATTCAGAAATAGCACTTTTTTCAGAGTTTGTATCCTCATTTTGGATAATCAATGCTTTTTTGTTTTGCAGATATTGACGAATGCAGGGAGATCCCGGGTATCTGTGCCAATGGGGTGTGCATCAACCAGATTGGGAGCTTCCGCTGTGAATGTCCAATGGGCTTCAGCTACAACAACATACTACTGATTTGTGAAGGTTGGTCTCAGGCCTTGCCTCAACTTTTCCCCTTCTCATTTTTGCCTCTCGCTGCAGGGCAATAAAGGGTTCGTTTTTCCTTTTGCACATACCAAAAACAGAGGAAAAAAATACTCATCTCACCCCTGTTTTTGACCCTTCAACTCATTATGTGAACACACGTCATATACCATACAGGAAAGGTCTGTGTCTGGTGCTGCTGTTAATACACCCCAACGTACACACATATTTAGACACATGCACATACGCACACAGCGCGGTGCACACTCATAAACACAGGGGCTCCCATCCTCTGGCTGCGAGGCAGTTTTATAAGCGTTCCACGCAGTGAAGTTAATGCAGCCTTTATTGTCATGAATTATGTCCTTGTAAAGACAAGCGTAGTTGCTCTGAACGGGGTTGCAAGAGTCATCAATCATCCAGAATTCTGCCATCGACTGTCCAAACTGCAGCAGTCAAACTGGTGCCGTGCTGTTTTCTCACGGACGGTCAGAAAAGGCCAAGGTGATTGATGCCCACCTTTCTCCTTATTTTGCAGACATCGATGAGTGCAACAGTGGCGACAACCTGTGCCAGCGCAACGCCAAATGCATCAACATTCCCGGCAGCTACCGCTGCGAGTGCTCCCAGGGCTTCAAGCTGACTCCCAGCGGCGCCTGCGTCGGTAAGGTCCCGTGTGACACACGGATGTGTTCTCATGTTTGCACTGCGTTTAGGGATCTGTCCGATGATGTTGGTGGTTTTTCACTGGATTATGGTGTAAATGTCTCCTCATAATAGGATGACAGTGGAATCACCAAGAGCTCCTCGAAAGCCTTAATTGACATTTCAGACTGATGATCAGTGAGCACATAAGAATAATTTGTCAATCAACAAAGCATTTATATATCTCTTTTCTTTTTTCACTTATCCGTCAGCATCTATGGAGCTTTTTGTTGTAAAATGTCTTTGATGTGATAAGGCCATACACTCCCCGAAATGCCCCATGTTCCATCCATCCCTCCATCCGTGTTTGCATTAGTTTTTCTCAAGTAGGGTGGCACCAATCTTATGTCCCTGAAATAGCTGAGTTGGCATAAAGGTTTATTTACCCCCTCTGAATTATTTATATCAGTGGAGCTCAGTGTTTTTTTCTTTTAGCACCCTTCAAAAAAAAGATTTTGATATTCATTAACAATCAGCTGACCACTCAAAACTGACTGAATGTCTGGGGATTGTAAATGTGTTGGGCACAAACAATTTATTTCACGCAAAAAAAGTCACAAAGTTCCTGCGTCAATTAATAGTATGATAGATTTTGAAAGCCTATTCTGGTAGATTCCTCAAAACCAATTATGAAACGGCAAATGAGCATGATACGGCCTCTGTAACTTTTTTTATTGCTTCTCTACAGATCGTAACGAGTGCCAGGAGATTCCTAATGTGTGTAGCCATGGCCAGTGCATTGACACCCAGGGCAGTTATCGCTGTCTCTGCCACAACGGCTTCAAGGCCACCGCCGATCAGACCATGTGCATGGGTGAGGAGCCCAAGCCCAAGACACACAAACCTCTATTTCACGTGTATATAAGAATATATGTTTGTAAGGTTTGTCCAAAGTGGCTGCTTGTTTAGATGTCGTGTTTCTGTGTGTATTTTTCAGACATCGATGAGTGTGAGAGGCAGCCATGTGGGAACGGGACCTGTAAAAACACCGTGGGGTCCTACAACTGTCTCTGCTTCCCTGGCTTTGAGCTGACACACAACAATGACTGCATGGGTAGGAATCATGTTCTGTTCGGCTTCACAAAGTCAGCCGGGGTTTTGCTGTCACGTCATTCCAGCTTTTTACATAACTTTTTACACGGTGCCTTTTGATCCCGCTTGTACGTGAAGATCTTTAAAAGCCGGGGGGGGGGGAATAGACGGTCCATACTTTTTTTGTTATTTCTAAAAATATCTCACCTCAACTTTACTTCACAGACATTGATGAATGCAGTGCCCTCCAGGGCCAGGTGTGCAGAAACGGACAGTGCATCAACGCGCTCGGGTCCTTCCAGTGTCTCTGCCATGAGGGTTATGAAAACACACCGGATGGGAAGAACTGCGCTGGTAAGTCTTAAGTTTGTCTGAGAAAACTGTTGAAAAAAAAAAATGAAAAAATTACCAACAAGCAAACAAAAAAACTGGGTTTTGTGTTCACGTACCTTTTACATACAGTGTTTTAATGGAAAAAATGGCCGTTCTTTGCAGATATCAACGAGTGTGTGAGTCTACCTGGGACCTGCTCTCCAGGAACGTGTCAGAATCTTGTCGGATCCTTCAGATGTATCTGTCCACCCGGCTATGAAGTGCAAAATGACCAGTGTATAGGTACGAAAATCACACACACACAACTGGAATTAAGAAAACACAAAACATTACGATTTAACATTGTTAATAACTTGTTAGGACTAGCCTGTAAACTAGGATCCAGGTTAGAAAAAGACCTTCATAAGTGATCAAATGTGGCATTTTAAAGTGTTTTTAAGTGAGAATAATATAGAATGTGGTAATAATTGTCCCTGCTGGAGGCTCAAGATATTTGTTCTGTGCATAGTTTTACCAGCTGTTAAAAATGTAAAGGTTTGACTTTTATTACTTTTCCCATAGGTGAGGTTTGGCAGTCAAGTAAAACGAATTCTGTTCATTTTTGTGAATTTTAAATATCTGGTCGAATATTTGATTGCATCGACCTAAATCACACGTTATGGCGTCAGGGACATTAGCAGCTGGAACATCTGCTCCTGCACACATTTTAGGCATTTACGAGGAGCGTACACCGTCCTCCTCACATCCCCTGCTGTTTCCTTTTCTCACCCTCCACATCCCAGATATCGACGAATGTAAAGTGGAGTCCAACATCTGCCAGTTTGGCACCTGCACCAACACCCCGGGCAGCTTCCAGTGCACCTGTCAGCCGGGCTTCGTGCTCTCTGACAACAAACGCCGCTGCTACGGTAAGACTACGGGCTGGTTCCATAAGGATGCAGCCATGCTGGAGATTGCACAGAAATGTGATGCAAATGTGACGAAATATGGCAGCATTTTGTCATTTTGTCCTCTGCCTTGGCCCAATAGTCACTCAGTCTGTTCCCAGGGAGCAACGTAATCACCGGATTGAGTGGAAGTTCTTGTGTTTTTCTTTGCAGACACCAGAGAGAGTTTCTGTTTCACCAAATTTGAGGCGGGCAAGTGTTCGGTCCCCAAAGCCTTCAACACCACCAAGGCCAAATGCTGCTGCAGCAAGATGCCCGGGGAGGGCTGGGGACTTCCTTGCGAGCTGTGTCCAAGAGAAAGCGATGGTGTGTTTTTCGTCACATGTTTCTGTTAAACCTAAATTCCTCTCATGGTTCACTGACCCTTCATTGTTGTTCTCCAGCTGCTTTTAACACCCTGTGCCCCTACGGGCATGGAGCCATACCTGGACTGGATGATATTCGGGAGGGTGAGTGCCGCATTCTTAGTCTACCTGATGGAAAATGAAGTAAATGGAGGTAGGTTGGCTATGAAGTTTTGGCTAATCGTCGTCTTCTCTCTGTAGATACGAACGAGTGTCTGGATAATCCAGGAATCTGCCAGAATGGCATCTGCATTAATACTGACGGCTCTTTCCGATGTGAATGTCCCTTCGGATACAACCTGGATTACACAGGAGTCAACTGTGTTGGTGGGACATTTTCTGGCATAAACTAAGTAGTTTATTAATACATTTCTGAAGCTGGTGCAAAAACATTTGATCAAAACCTGCTGGATTTCTGCTTTAGTGTCAGCGGAGACTGAATCTAGCTCATTACAACAGCCTTCTGTTTTTGTTGGATTTAAGCAGCTAATTGACACTGTTCCACATCTTTTATAATATTAAACTGATTTTAAGTGTTTTCTCTAACTTATCCTTTGCTTTCTGGTGTTGCCAGACACCGATGAGTGCTCCATCGGCAACCCGTGTGGAAATGGGACCTGCACCAACGTGGTGGGAGGTTTTGAGTGTTCATGTCAGGAAGGATTTGAGCCAGGATCCATGATGACCTGTGAAGGTCAGTGTTTCACACATCGTAACGGTCACTCACAGACACTCGGCAGCACTTATTTTCAAGTCGATTTCAAATGGATGCGATTCAAATCTTCCTGTCCCTTCTTTTGTTTCAAGACATCAACGAGTGCTCCCAGAATCCTTTACTTTGCGCCTTCCGCTGCGTCAACACCTTTGGTTCCTACGAGTGCATGTGTCCGGCTGGTTATGAGCTGAGAGATGACCAGCGCATGTGCAGAGGTGAGAGGCCGCAGCAGTTCAGAGACTATTTTATTTTATTTAATTTCTATGTGAAGCCTTGAAAGTGATACTTGATATTGGATGTAAAAACGTTATGATTTTGACGTAACGGCCATCTCTCGCTGCCCGCCAACAGACCAGGACGAGTGCTCAGAAGGACTGGACGATTGCGACTCCAAAGGCATGACCTGCAAGAACCTGATCGGCACCTTCATGTGCATTTGCCCCCCCGGCATGCAGCGCCGGCCAGATGGAGACGGATGCATGGGTACGAGGAAAAAGCTCTCTATCCCGCTGTGTTTTTGACTGCATTTGTGCTCCTCCCCGCTCTGATCCCAACAAACTTTTGTTTTTTGCGTTCTGGGCAGATCTGAACGAGTGTCGTGCCAAACCCGGCATCTGTAAGAACGGCCGCTGCGTCAACACGGTGGGAAGCTACCGCTGCGAGTGCAACGACGGCTTCGAGCCCAGCTCCACCGGAACCGAATGCATTGGTGAGAGTTACTTAAACTTATCCGTCAGCATATAGGGAGCTTTTTCTCATAAAACATATTTGACGTTGTAAAGCCATACACTCCCCGAAATGCCCCGTCTTCCATCCATCCCTCCATCCATATTCACACTAGTTTTTCTCAAGTAGGGTGGCACAAATTTAAAGTCCCTGAAATTGCTGAGTTGGCATAAAGGCTTATTTACACCCCCTCTGAATTATTTATATCAGTAGAGCTCAGTGTTTTTTTTTTTTTTAGCACCTTTCAAAAAAAGATTTTGCTATTCATAAACAATCAGCTGACCACTCAGAACTGATTGAATGTGTCGGGAGTGTAAATGTGTTGGGCACAAATTATTTCAGGGAAAAAAGTCACAAACGTTCCCGCGGCAATCGATTGTATAATAGATTTTCCCCTGAAACCTAAAGGTCTTAACAATGTCCTGGTCTCATCCCGTCATGTAGACAACAGAAAGGGCTACTGTTACACAGAGGTCCTGCAGACCATGTGCCAGCAGTCGTCCACCAACAGGAACAGCGTGACCAAGTCGGAGTGCTGCTGCAACGCGGGTCGAGGCTGGGGGTCCCAGTGCGAGCTGTGCCCCCTGCCCGGCACCATACAGTACAAAAAGATGTGCCCGCTGGGACCCGGCTACACTACAGACGGTAGAGGTGAGAAAAACCATTTCCTGGGTGCAAAAAAGCAAAAAAACTCATTTTTTGATTTGGGAACGTCCCCGTCCAGAGTCTGTCCAGTTCAGATCGCATTTAAAAATACTTTTTTTTTTATTAGACATCAACGAGTGCCAAGTGTTGCCGGATCTGTGCCACAACGGTCAGTGCATCAATACCATCGGATCTTTCCGATGCCACTGTAATGTGGGATACAAGGCCGACTTCACCACCACCACCTGCGTTGGTACGGTTCTTAAAAATCCAGCTGTTTTTGTCCCTCAAATTGTAACTTGTCTCTTTGCAAGGTTTTATGATCAAAAAGAGATAAAATCACTGTCGCATTCAAAAATGTTTTAACATTTCCACTTATCTTCTTCCTCGTTGTGAATATTTCAGATATGGATGAGTGCTCGCTGTCCCCCAAACCCTGCAACTTCCTTTGTAAAAACACAGAGGGCAGCTACCTCTGCTCCTGCCCAAGAGGATACAGCCTGCAGCCAGACGGAAAGACATGCAAAGGTTAATAAATCTGCTTTCTTGGAACATCGGTGTGGTATTTATGGCATAATGTTTAGGACTAGGCCCCATTTCCTGTCCCGTAAAATCGATAATGAGATATTCAGTAAGTGTATTGTCGCTCCAATTATTCTATGATGAACATTTCGGTCTTCTATCCCCACTAAGATTTGGACGAGTGCTCCACCAAGCAGCACAACTGTCAGTTTCTCTGTGTTAACACCATCGGAGGCTTCACCTGCAAGTGCCCCCCCGGTTTTAGCCAGCACCAGACTGCCTGCATCGGTAGGTTCAGTCACAATTTAATGCAAAAGCACACCAATAAAAATCAATAAACTGGATATATGCACATTACTTAACACTGTTAGAGATAACATGAATGCTCTTCACTGACCAAGTGTCCTCTTTCTTTGAAGACAACAATGAATGCACGGCTCAGAACAGTGTGTGCGGCTCACGGGCCTCCTGTGTCAACACACCTGGAAGCTTCAACTGCGAATGTACCAAAGGTTTCTCATTGGACAGTACGGGCATCGAGTGCGAGGGTGAGCAAATGCAGCGTTCAAAACCGCAAAAGAGAAAACAGAGTCACAGGAAAGCTGCGTAGGCGTTTGTGATCGAGGCAGTTAAAGAATTGTGGTTGCACGCAATCAAAACAACGGAGAAACAAAGTGCTTGTTCATAATCCTCCCTTTCCACCTTCCCCAGACGTGGACGAGTGCAGCAGCAGCCACCGCTGTCAGCACGGCTGTCAGAACATGATGGGAGGCTACCGGTGTGGATGTCCCCAGGGCTATGTGCAGCACTACCAGTGGAACCAGTGTGTGGGTGAGTGTGTGTGACTCAGAGTCTGCCGGAGCTGACAGTATGGACCCGTTCGCCTCAGGGAGGATTGCACAGATTCAATTTCAGAGCAGATTTTAAAGGAAGTTTTGACCCTTTGATTCATATATGTTCATTTTTTTTGTTTGAATCGACATTAGAATTAATGAGTTTATTTCCAAGTTGCCGATGTTAAGATTAGCTAGAGCTGAAAAGCTGCAAGGGGAGTGGATTCTTTGAGGTTCTTTTAAGGGTTTTCAATGTCTTTGTTTGGTGTTGTAAGTAATACAATTGTACCATAATAGTCAGAGACATTTATGTGCACTTTGAATTTGATTCAAATTAGATTATTTGACTCAATCTGATTTACAGTTGAAGTCTTCCATTGTGTACGAGCTACTGATATGGCATGTGCACAATAAATTATTTTCGTCTGAAATAAATGAAGGAACATAAGAAGGTCTTAGTCCTTCCAAATATAATTGTGAGCAAAGAGAATGAGATTAGTGTGTTGGGATCATTTTGTGCGCTATGGTGGAATTGTGCCTTTCAATAGTAACCGCAGAGCTTTTCCGTGACATCCACAGCCTTCATTTTGTCATCCCCTCTGAACGTCCCTCCCTTTTTTTCCCTGCAGATGAAAATGAGTGCCAGTCTGGGACGGTTTGCGGCTCTGCCTCCTGCTACAACACCCTGGGCAGCTTCAAGTGCGTGTGCCCCTCCGGCTTCGACTTCGAGCAGAGCGCCGGCGGTTGCCAGGACGTGAACGAGTGCGGCTCGGGCACCAACCCCTGCATGTACGGCTGCTCCAACACCGACGGAGGCTACCTGTGCGGCTGTCCCGGGGGCTTCTACAGGGCGGGACAGGGGTGAGGGGAACCACACGTTAAACAGGAACAAGCATGGCATCTTACTGAACAACAAGAGATAATTAAACAATGTTTTCCTGTGCTGGTGTGTTTGCCTCCATGCAGTCACTGTATATCAGGGTCAGGTTTCCCGGGCCAGCATCTGGAGGGAAATGAGGACGACAGTTTGTCTCCCGAGGCCTGCTACGAATGCAAGATCAACGGCGGAGGAAAGAACGGACGACAAAAGCGCGAGGCGGATGCCAACGAGCTCAACCAGGTACGGTCTCGGAAAAAACGATCTGCTGCTTGTCACTTGAGTGTCAGAGTCATTGTCGTTTTTTTTGTTTTTTTTATTTATTTTTTATTTTTATCTATGTATATATCTATGTATATATCTATGTATAGATCTATGTATATATCTATCTATATCACATGAGGAATTTTGTATATATATATATCTACTGTATGTACAGACATGTATATATGTATATGCCGCTGTTTTATTTATGGATCCAGTAACAAAAATAATTTCCCTCTGGGATTATTAAAATATTTCTGATTCTGATTCTGATCTGTCTGCGCGTCTTTTCCGTCAGGAGCCGTCGGTCAGCATGGCCAGCGTGGACACCCAGGCCTCCATCCCCATGAACCTGTCGCTGAGCGCCCTCCTCAACAAGGAGCCCCTGCTGGAGCTGCTGCCCGCCCTGCAGCCCCTGGAGCACCACGTGCGCTACGTCATCACCCACGGCAACGCCGGCGAACACTTCCGCCTGCTGGAGCGCCGCGACGGGAAGAGCGTGCTCCGGCTGGGGAAGAGGCCCCCCCCGCCGGGGTCCTACCGCCTGGAGATAGCCAGCCGGCCGCTGTTCGGCCCCCGCCAGCGGCAGCAGCTGGAGGACCGGCACGACAGTGACTACCTACAAGGGGAGATAGGAGACGCCCTGCGCATCAAGCTCCTCGTCCACCTGCACTGAGCCCGGAGTGAACGGAGCAACCCGACTCTGGACTGAGTTTTTTTAAAACCTGTAATCCAATAATCCCTCCACCCCGTCGTCCAGCCCCATCAGGACCATCCGGCCAGCAGGGGGTAATAAAGGGCCACGAAAGACTGAGTCAACCGGCCCCCCGACTCTGCCACCACTTTGTTACTGTTCCACTTATTATAGGTTCGTGTTTTGTGCTTTTTTTTTTCGGTTTTTGTTGTTACCCTGACTCCCACTCCTACCTTACCCAGCACTCGTTCTCCACTGAGGAACGACGGAGGGGGATGGCAGAGAGGTGGTTCGTGCTTGGACCAAAGCCACCTCAGACCGAAAAGAAGTAGCGGGCAGAAGGCTTAAAAGTCCATGTAGCACTTTTGTAGGTTGGGACAACGAGAAACTACACTGAACAAAGGTTTTAGCGTGAATGGTTCTAGTGCTGACAGACCCTGTCTTCATACAAGACGTGTGGCAGTATTTAAATCCAAGCACCGCATGGAAAACCTTCTGTTTAATCTTTTTAAACTGGTCTAAGGACTCCGCCACCTCTCTGTTATCCTGGGGGGGGGGGAAACCACAACACTGGGGATAAAGGTGTGTTACATTTTCCCTTATGAGTATTGTAGTATATCATTTAATGTATTTGTGCTGTTTGAAAAATGTTAACACGAAGGACTGCATCATTTACACAGCATTTCAGGTTCTTTAGTCTCATTCTGTTCTCTGTAGCTGGATATCAACCAAACACCAAATGAGAAAAAAACGGCAAGCTCCGTTTTGCTCTGATGTCACTTTTCTCCTCCTTCCCGTGGGTAGGGCAAAGCGGGGATTAGCGTGTCTGCGTGTGTGTGCTGTCATGTTTGGTTACCTCAGTACCTCTCACTGAGTATGGACGCCATACTGTGATGCTGACGTTAAAACAAAAGAGGGTGCTACCGTCCCCCTCAGCATCCATCATTAGCAGGGAAGACACCAAAAAAGTAGCTTATAGAATTTGAAGAAGGTACATCAGGTCACGTTTGTATTCATCCTCTTAGGGATTTTTACTTCAGGTGCACTGATTCCAGACCTAAGGGCCAGCTTCTTTCTCCGTGCTGTCACCCGTCGGCAGATTTCAGCTCTTTTTAGTTTTTCTGCAGACTCTTGACACGCTTTCCGGAGGACAGAACCGTAGCTGACTTAATCTGGCTTCTTTGACTTTACTTTGAGCTCAAAACCTGAGGAGTCAGCGACGTTTACAACGCAAAAGAGACACTGCGGAACAGTCTCAAAGGTACACGGCCTGTTAGGCATGTAGGTAAAAGAAGTGCAGGGGCACGCACAGGTGAACACGAAACCTCATGAAAAATAAAAGAAAACTCATCAGGTCATACTTCATTACTCATGTTTAGTTTTTTTTTTCTCAAAGAGAAAAAAGAGGTGCTACAAAATGCCATCTTATTACGCTGTACAAAGGAAATGTGGTCTTGAATCTGGATTGCAAGCATGGCATATTTTTTGGGAGGTTTTTATTCATGTGTGTCTGTCTTTTGTATTGTCTGGAAAACCAATATTATCAAAACTTGCTTCTCGACAATTAAAATTGTATATTTTTTACGTGAAATGTTTTTTAAAATTCATTTTACAGTCAAGGCAACGCAAAAAACGGAAAAAAAAACAAACAAAAAAAAACGATCGAGATTGAAGGCTTGACGTGCGGTTGACCTTGTTTTTGTGCGCGCAGACAATTCCAAACCCAAACTAGCGGTGCGTTTGTGGGCCTCTGACTGGCTTCTGTTCACAGTTCCTGTCAGCCAGTAGCCAGCAGAAGTCAAAGATCATCATTAGCTGTCATATCTCACACAGGGAAGCTTACACTGTCTGTAACATGCCATAGGGATTCATGCAACACCTTCCTGGCCTCTACGGTGCTAAATGATAACTGTTCCTGTATTTTTTTTTGTTTTTTTTTTGTTGCTGCACTGTTCTGCAGCCTTCAGCAGACAACTTTCGAAACACGTAACCATTTTTTCTAACCGGAAAAAAAAAACCTTTGTATACTTTGTATCTTTCATGTGCATTTGTAATTTTTCTTTTATTTGCCATTTTGTTTGTAGACAAAAGACATGTGCTTACTGTATCAGTTTCAGTGTCAAACTTGAATTCTGTCATCACCAACTGTTAGCAGCAAACTGTCGCCTACTTTATGATACAGAAAACAAGGGCCGGGAGTTGTTTTTAAAACAAACAAAAAAAAGAGATTGACACCGATTGACCAGAGTTTAACTGTAAGCTGATGACAATCGCCTGTTAACACCCACCAGCTAAAGATCCACGAATGGATCGGCCGAGATGAAGCATCTTTTTACACATTAAATTATCATGTAAAGGTGGAAAAACACCACATAGCAATTTGTAAAATCTGTGTGATTCACGTCATTTTGTAAACCTTTGTCCGGCGACATTCACAGCAATAAAATATTGTGGGTTATATTTTTAAGTCTTGCGTCCTTGGTTTTTTTTTCTCGGTTTAGATTTGAACTCCAAAAAAGAGAAGCACGACGTGTTAAGTTGCAGTCCTTTTTATTTCATTTCAAACATGAACAATGTGGACTTCCCACACAGTCCGGCCATCACCTCAGCTTCAGGAATAGTAACTGAAGAATAAAACACCATTGTTCGGCTGTTTTAATCACGCGTATCAAAAACAAAGCAGATAGTCAGAAAAACACAACCACAGATAAAAGCAAAGCTTTGACTTTGCCTCCAAAAACAGGGCTGCATGACTACCTCAAAAATCCACAGTCTAAAGTTTGGTTGAGTAAGAGGAAGAGAGACAAAAGGATAGCAAAAAGAAGACTCCCAAACTTGAGTCGAGTATAGAAAAATAAAGCTTTCTTTTGCCCAAAAGGTCGCCGTTTTGCTTTATCACGACACTTGGCGGGCAGACTAAAGCAAAGGGCACAAACCAGTTAAAGTAAACTCTACTTGCCGTAATGAGGGACTATGTCGTTTCGATATGGCTTCTCGGACACGGACACAATAACTCACAACGCACACAAAAAAAATAAAATAAAAAGTTCTCGTAAACTACCTGCTTGGGTCTTTGAAAGCGTTTGAAGCTGCGGTGCTGCTCAAGGCTCAGCTTTTGCCACAGAGAAAGTGGACCTTGTGCCCCTTGGTCAGCACTTGAGAGAAGGACGCTTTGCTCCGGACCTGCTTGTTCATTAAAGGGGCTTCTGCTTCTGTGTAAACTCCTTCGGTGGGATTCTGCTTTGTGTGGTGCCTTCAGGAGCGCAGCTTTGAGGTTGTGAGGGATGTTCTGGGAATCAGATTGTGTTGTTGATGATGGTGGTTATGGTGAGCACGGGGCTGAAGGGGGACCTAAAGCTATGGCGGCGCTGGGGTGTGGGAGCAGTAGGTCGAGGTTAAGGCAGCTGTGCAGCTCATGGTTTCTGTCCGTTTTCTGAGTTTGGGTGTTTGGCTCGGCCTCTTGTTGACCCACACCGGGCAGCCTGATATTTACACCGGACCATACAGAACACAGTGGTTTGAGACCCACAAAATGTAGCATTATCAACCCCCCCACGATGCGTTGCTAGAGTCCGTCTTCCCTACACCAGCGCGTAATCGAACTGACCCCTCTCCAGCCCCTCCTTGTGGTCAGTCCAGGAGGACGAGGGCATGCGGCTGTAGGGGTCCAGCAGGATCCTGAAGCACCTGACCAGCAGGAAGACCAGGAAGAGCATGAGGAGGCCTACAAAGGCCAGGGCGGTCCGCTGCTCGTTGTCCACCCCGACCAGCGCCAGGGGGGGGCTGCTGCCGCCGCCGGGGGCGCCGCCCGGCAGGGAGGAGCTGGCCGGGGACAGCAAGAACTCATAGTCCAGCGTGGGCACATCGTTCATCCTCCACGGGGCCCGGAGACAGGGCCTGCACAGGGACTGGACGGTTGGCGTGTTGAGGGGAGGCGTGGAGAAAGAGGGGAAGGGGTTCATTAGGGACAAGCCGGGAAGACGTCGGGTAGGCTAAGTCAGCGGGAGTAAAGCTCTTTTTTCAGTCTCTTGATCTAAAGTGTGTGTGCTCAGACCCTGACGCGCATTTTCCTCTATGTCGTCAAATCTAGGTCAGTCACAAAGAGAAGACGCAGACAGCCCTGACCCTAATTTGCTCTGACAAAGTGACAGACACACACACACAAGTGAAAGTACACACACTTTTCAATTAATACGGACTACTTTTTTTGTAGTCAGAGACTAAAAAGTCTATCGATGCTTCGTGCTCTTTTTCTTATTCAAGTGGCAAAGGCCTCCGGCGGTAAATGTTTCTATTTATCGGAGCCACTCTGCCACATCGGCTCTCGTTTTCGCTCCTAATCAGAGCGGACAGGGCATGACACCGCCTCCCGCTAATGCAAACAAACACACAAATGTCTCCCAGCTCGATCAAGGTCAGTGGAGTCTCAGTGGAGAGCTGGTAGTGTGTGGATGGGCTGCTGAGTCCGGGTTGTGTAGCGCTGAACTGAGAGGTGGAACACAACCGTTACCATCCGAAACGTCTACGGAGGCCAGCAAAACGCGTGCCTGTGAACGCACCACGCCTAGGTGTTTGAATGCAGCTTATCAGAGCAAGAGGTCAGCTCGGTCGATATTAAAAAGCAGCCGCTAATTGCAAAAGTTTTCCCTTCAACCCGGCGAGTCGGAGCGTGGCAAGTGGGTCAGAGTCAACGAATATCGAAATAACTTTCCTCCACCGTTTAGCTTTTCAGGGTGACCGTCTCAAAGCCCCCCCCCCCTTACCCCCACCCCCACCCCCGACGAACAGGAAAGCAATCAGAGGTAGATAATGTTCGTAGAGGGTCTGACTTTAACTGTTTGGTGGGATGAGTTGTCAGTCTCAAATTGGAAGCAGAAGGCAGAATCTGTTCACGAGGTTGTTCCAGCGGTCTCAGGCAGATGTGGTAGAGGTGAAAAACCTTTTGTCATCAGATGTCACCACCTAAAAGATATAGAAGCACATAGTTAGAAACTGGTGGATTTAATATGCATTGGTTTGTATTTTATAGATAAGACAGGTATGTACAACTGTCCTTGTTTCTAATGTAGACTATAGAAGGAGGATTCAGCTATTCCCTCCTTATTTAATCACGCTCTGTGATTATAACACCCTCCTGTTCACTAAATAACAGCAGTATTAGCCATCTGCGGAGAAACACAGCACCAGCACGCCCTGTAATGACACTCAATTAGGAAGCTGATTATGGTATCATTATTGCCACATTAGCAGTAATGAATGCGCGATTACAAACACCGATACCAAATTCCCTCAACCCTGATTTTGTTCCATCACTGACCCCTTTCTCTCATCCGCTCACATGATGCAGGGGGAAAACAAAGTGTCGGGGAGTCTCATTAATAATCTAAAATTGCATCTCCTGTGGCAGACCGGGTTTCAAATCACCGAGGACACCCGATACGTACATTTACATTTACACTCGCTCACATGTCGGTGTAGGATGGCGGCGGGTTGTTTGTTCAAATAAATGTACGGCTGATAGATATACCTGTGTGTGTGAAAATGTGTGTGTGTGTGTTGACGGTGGGTAGTGCCCATGAAAGACAAAGGCAATATCATGTAGAGGGGAGAACAGAGAGGGTTTTTGACTCATAGATTAGCTAATGATTGATGATTCTGAGGTGAAGAGGCAGCAGCACAGAGGAGAAAGGAGAGGTTCACTGGCACTGGCGAGTCTCCTCTGCGTGACCACGGCAAAATGCCTTCACCGTGCACCCCCCACCCCCCCAGTCTCTGCCGCGCTCAGTTCAAAGGTTTTCGATCCGATACTTCATCAGCCGGAGTCTCCGGGGTGGCCGCCGCTCCAGGCTGGCTGGCTGCAGGATGACACACGTGGGACCAACGCTCACACCGTGCACGGACGTGCACGTCTGCAGGTGCACGAAACAGACCCGACGCCTGTGTGAAAGCCCCTCAAGGTGTTTACCCTTAAAGGTGAGGTCCAAAAACCTTGCATCTTTAAAAATGAGAAAAAGATGTCGATACTAAGACAAAGCTAATGTTTTGCAACTCTTCTCCATTCAAACTGCGTCCACTTGGATATTTTGTGGTTTTGAAATAACATTAATGACTCATTCTTGTTATAAATAATATTTTACATCATTGATGCAGACAGAATTAGTTCAATTTGGGAGAAATGACTGGGAAAAGTGCTTTAAGACACCTTGTAGCTAAATAAAATTCTTCTTTTTTTTATTTTTTATTTTTTAAATCCACACCGGTCACGGTATAAAGCCGCACAAAAGTGGCCTCCTCATTCAAACACTGACAGGCATTACGCTAAGCACTCAACCACACCAAACCTTTTGAGAGTTTTCAATGTTAGGACTGTCAGGAGTGAGCAATGCGAGTGCAAATGTCACTACTTTTTTCCGCTCTGCAGTGGGAATTTAACTGTATTTCATAAATATTTAGCATCACGCAGAATCAACAACTACATGGAATGGCGGAGGGTAGAAAAGTGCACTTTTATGGTAAGCTGAAATTGATTTAGAATACAAAAGACACGTTATGTCTCATTTGGATGGAATATATTTTTAGGATGTGACCGTGAGTCTGTATGCAAACCGACAGCCTGCAAATAGCTCTAGAGCCGTTTGTTATACTGTTACTGGCAATATCTCCTGACAATCAGAATGACAACTCTGAATAAGGTTTACTGCTGTTGCTGTGGCGACTTGGTGGGATAGCTCAATAAAATAAAGCCTTTGTTTATGCCAGCAACAAAATCTGTGCATTTTGTACTATAAGTCTTTACTGTTAGGGTACAACGAATGTACTAGAAAAATAACACAACAAAAGAAAATGTGTAAATATTCCATCCAAGCACAGAACACCATTTCTTTTGTAGTACAACTATCTAAAATCACTGGATATGTGAACACAGAAGCTTTTAGTAGTCAAAAATAAATTGATCATACATTAAAATATTAAATTGTTTAACATAAGCAGATTATATTGAATGTTTACAGCTAACAGTGATAGCTTTTTAGGGTACAAATAGACACAATACGGCAGAATAATGTCATCTAAAAGATGAGCGTTTGCTTGTTGCTTAAATACAAAATATATTTTTAGGTATATTTAGGCAGGAATTATATTCCTCTCTCATAATGTGTCCAATGCTGAATATTGAAATGTAATCAATTCAAGATGGTAGTGTACTCATGTCATATAATGTGTGTATAGCAGAGCAGAGCTGAAGTACATGAAGCACATGTTTGTTACGGTGCCTTATGTGAACATCTATTTGTTGATATCCCTGTCAATTCATGTTTAAAGGGACCAGATGTCTAATGTACGTGCTTTTCTATCTTGAACTATTACATTGTTTCAGATGAAAATTGAGTTTATTTTCAATTTGTCTCCATCAATTGCATTTTAGAAATCGAAACACACTGACATTTCAAGCCAAAATCTACCTGCAAACGAACACCATCATAAGAAGACAAACCTGTTGAAGCAACACCATTTTTAGTAGACTTAAACTACAATGAAAAAATGACGGGAGACATATAAGACTTCAAGACACTGATGACATAATACCTTATGTAAAATAATTATATAAAATGTTATTAGTCACAATCCCTGAGTGATAATCTCAGGGGGTTAAGGAGGAATTTGGGCCTTAAATACAATGATTGATACATACTGATATTCATTTGGACGTGGACTTAAAAATAACTTTAAGTGTTGACAATCCGCGTGAAGAAAATGGTAAAAATACGGTGCTTTTTGCCTTGCAACAGGCCATTAGAGAGTCGCTGACCCAACAGCTCCGCCACGGGCAGCTGAGGTGTGTGTCTGTGTGCGTGTGGAACTGTGAGGTAAAGGGAGGACAGACAGATATTGCTCAGCTTATTTTCCTCCTCGTTAAATCTCTCTCTTACCATCACCCTCTATCAGTCACACGTGCACACACACACACACACACCGTCTTTCCTCCTAGATATTACCTCAAAGGTCCAATGAGATGAGGGCAGGTGATGTCAGTCTTCCCCGGAGAGCCCTTGTAATGGACGCCTCTCTCACTCATCCGCATACACAGATATGTTCATTTCTAAAAACACACAGCGGCATGGCTGATGTTCAGAGGCAGCCACAGTCAAGTGAAACACATACAGTGAGAGCAAGCTCTTTCAAACTCAGTGTGCGCGCACAATCATTTCCTATCACACCCCCAGAGCCATTTGTCAAGCTAATGTTGACAGAACTCATCAGGGTAAATGAATTGAGAAGAGCTGAAAATAATTTAGTTACCTCTCGGGTGACCAGGGGTGTCACCTTTTTCTCTCTCTATCCACCTCCTGCTATCTTTCACACATACAGCCCGGCTGCCGTGGCTGCTACCCTTTAATTTGAAGTATAACCGAGTTAAAGTTACATGAATCATTGTGGAGGTGAGAATCCAAATAATTTTTTCTCAGGTTTAAATGAGAATTTAAACCTGTAGAACGCCGTCGTCCAGCTCTCCAAACAGCGTTCACGATTATATACAAAATACAAAAATACAGCTACTGTGGTCTGCTGTCATTGTTCTCAAGAGCTAAATACTAGTTGTTTTCCATAAAAAGGAACAAAAAAGGTTTTTTATTTAGCTGAAAAGGAGATTCAGCAATAAAATATTCTAAACTAAAAAGGGGTTTTAAGCTCGTTTTGGACATTAACTGGGTTATTTCCAGGCATTGTTGGTCAAAAAACTGAAAACATGAGGGACACAATGGACCGAGTCGCCCACTATTTCCCATAATGCAACACTGAGGTGACTAATATAAAATGGAGTCAATATTTCAGCTTTGAAGTTTACTTTTAATGTATATTAATGTGTTAGAATTGGAAGGTATTGGTGTAATATATCGTAACTCACATCTGTGTGAATTCAGATGCTAAAAAAGTGTGTTGGAGCATAGAACACATGTATGAT